AAAAAAAGAAAAACAAAAAAGACCAAATCAGGCATTCCGGTCTTCTTCGTCCTGCACGGCCGCCCGCAGCTCCCATACAATATCGTAACATTCCGCTAATAGCGAATTCACACTACCCTGTCCCTCGGGGATGTCGCTGCCCACGTAGAACTTCCCATCTACTCGCATATTATCAATGGAGTTAAGCTGGGCCGTATTAGCAATGTTTCGTGTACCGCGAATGTCCCAACCCCCCAGACTTACCTTCATACTATATGGGTAAAGTTCGCGCGAATTCGCCACGCCGCCAGATTCCTTAACCTCAAGGAGGCAACGCTTCAGCGTTTGGAGCTGGTTATACACCGGTAACAATGCCTCGGATACCGGTTCTGACGAGATTAGAAGCCCATAGATGTATCCATAGCTTCTCCTGATCAAGTACAGAAGGGTCTACATGTTCGAGTTAGCACACCTGTGATTGTTGAGATGTACTGGACGTTTACCCGTTGCGCATGAATATCCGCCAGTTGTCCTTCCGCATCGACAAAGTTCCCATTCACACGTCCCTCATCAATACGGTCGAGTTTTCGTTGATAGCCGAACAGGTCGGTCTCACGGAGAGACCACGCTTGTGTTACAGACAGCCGATCAAGCTGGTTGCGAATGTCAACCAACCGCTCGTACTGGTCTTGGAACCGCTCATCAATCTTTCCCTCCCTGTCGGGGATCAGCAGAGAAATGGTAGGATTTGGAGAGACGTACCGTTGCAGAACAATCTCCGTCCACTGCCAGCATCGTTCCAATAGGCCTTTCACATTCTCCTGTCCCGAGAGCGGTTGCCCATCAGTGCCAATAAAATTGCCATCTTTCAACGAGTCCTGGATCTTCTTCAATTGATCCCGTAGCCCATTAACCTCCGATGCGGAGAACTAACGTACACTTGGTTAGAATCAGCGGGTGTGTAGGACTAAAAGGTGCACACCTTTGAACGAGTGTTAACCGCAGAGGTTGATCGCAGGATTGACACAAGTGTCTCATGAGTAGACACAAGTTCGGGGCTCAGCTGCGCAAGATCACCCTGCAACTTGTTTAATAAAAGTCGGCACTTCTCCAGTCGGCTCTCTAGAAGTGTCAATAAAGCGGGGGAGTATGCATTGCGACAGCGGTCGATGGTTTCGTCAACATGAGCGAGAGTCTTTGTGATGGAGCTGAGGTCTTTGGAACTGTAGAAGCCAGCCTCTTGCAGGTGGTCAAGAAGTCGCTATTTGTACGTTAGAAAGCGGAAGAGACGGAAGAATATATTTTGTCTCCAGTTACCTGAACCGTAGTTGCCAGGGAATACCTTCAGCGCAATCGATCGTCAGTCTCTATCAGATCCGATCAACAACATGTTATCGGGAGGCACGTACACTGCAGGTGCCTCGTTGTTCCGACCAACTGTCAAGAACAGTAGCGAGATCAATTGAAAGCAATCATCCAGTACATAGTCAACTAGAACCTCAGGGAAGTGGTAACAGTCAGCAAGCCTGTTCTCATACAACTTACACTTAACGCAAGGCCCACTCAGTGCTAACGTCGGTTATGTGGCAGCCGGCGGTCTTTTCCCTTCCGGACGGCATTGAGCTTTTCAACCTCAGAAATCACCTCCTCATACAGTGGAAGCACGTCGCGAGACTTGATGTAAGAGGACTTGTCCTGCTTGATAAGCAGGAGAGCGTCGCGGGTGCGCAGCAGACGGTCAAGAATTGGTTGCTCTTGCGGATCCAACGGAGCGGGGACGGCGGGGGAATCCATGACGCCGGAGCGGGATAATGTAGAGTGTACGAGGTAGGGGGGGTGGGAGAGAAATATCAAGTGATAGATGGGTGAGAGGTAGAACGGAGAGGTATCTGTATTTCGGAGATAACAAACCACAAGAGATATACGGAGATATTTCGATCTAGAGACTAAACTGCATCATGCGGATCAGATGCAATCAGACGATGATGGCATGGGTTGCCTATTAGGGACTAGTGTAAAGTCACGGGAGGGGCGGTGACGCTAAGCCGGAACAAGGCCCTAAGCGAGCCCTAGGTGCACACAGTACCAGTTCCGCTCTGGGCCTCTACCGGACTCTCAAAGATAGGCCGAGTTAAAAGTCTCCCGTCTTCTTCTCTCTTTCCTATACCCATCCCTCTCGAGACTCCAGTCCAGTCAACGACCCCATCGACCACCATGTCTACTGCCGAGCTCGCTTGCTCCTACGCGGCCCTCATCCTCGCCGATGATGGCGTCGAGGTCACCGTACGTATTATCCTTGGATCTTGAGTTGGTATTGTGGGAAATCGATTGAACAACACGAGGTTGTCGCAAAGAGGTGGAAATTTGCGGGAAATCTTGAATATTGGGGGACGAAGATTTTTGCATTGGGAATATAGGCTGATCGTGTCTTTTGTTCACCACAGGCCGACAAGCTCCAGACTCTCCTGACCGCCGCCAAGGTTCAGGAAGTTGAGCCCATCTGGACTTCCATCTTCGCCAAGGTAAATATCCGACAGTTCTCGAGCGACAAATAGAAGAACACAAAGTCAAGATTCAGCAACTTACACTCCGATTTCTACAGGCTCTTGAGGGCAAGGACATCAAGGATCTCCTGACCAACGTCGGTTCCGCTGGTGCTGCCGCTCCCGCCGGTGCTGCTGCTGCTGGTGGCGCTGCTGCCCCCGCCGAGGCTGCTGCCGAGGAGAAGGAAGAAGGTAACGCTTCGATCCATGAAGAGTCTGCGAAGGTGCGCGGGGTGCTGACTTTTGCACACAGAGAAGGAGGAGTCCGACGAGGACATGGGCTTCGGTCTTTTCGACTAAGCGTCTTCACCCGTTCGGCTTTCCTAATTTCCTTTTTCACCTCATTTCTTCCATATCTCCTTTTCGCCCTCGCATTTCTTGTACCCCATACTACGCGACCGCACGATGATCAAAAAGGGAAATTCAAAAGGGATCAACGGACAAAGACATCCGGTGGGACTGGGCGCTTTGCTTGTATGATGGGTTCGATGACAGGTACTGGAACGGATGACGCTAAGATTCCGGCCATCAGACTTCAGTCGTGGCACACCTATGGGTCGGGGGCGAGATCATGTTGGCCGTCCTCGTTTCTATATAAAATGTTCCCAGTTTAGCTAGTTTCGAGCTTAAGTGCCCAGATCTCATGCCATGTCTGTCATGCGACCATGAACAAAAGGTTTCTGTTTGCATTGTCTGTATAAAGCTACTCATAATTCCCGCCCACTCCCATTGCTCGCTCTAAGGTAAAAAAGAATACACAAAGTCATGCATGATAGATATAAATATAGTACAAACGCCATGCCTACATACACCCCGCAACTTTTTCTGATCTTAAACTAAAAAGAACTCGACACAACTTTTGATAAGCGTGATCACTAACGGAACGACGCCGCGTCCCCGTAAAGTCGATCAACGCGCTAAACTATTAGCGTGGCTATACCCTGACCCTTGACAGTCATGGCCCTGCGGCTGCAGAGTCCGCAACCGCATATAGACGAAATTGTATAAAAATCGTGATATCCTCAACCATCGTACCCAGCGATCCCAGCAGCCAAGGTATATTTGTAACAATGTAGTTCTTCTCCGTTGAGTGACAAAGGATCTAAATTGTACATTGTCAGCCTCAAATGACACACAAAAAAATCGATCTGTAAATGAAAACCCACACCAGCGCCATAAGTCAAATTCCCCAGGAGTGAGAGAATAAAGAACAAAAGCGAGAGTCCTGTCAGATCAGTTAGTAGTGTAAATGCGGTGTCTCGTGGTTAGGGAAACACATACCCTCGCAAGATTTGTCCTTCCAGTTTTTATAGATCTGCGGAAGACGTGCACTAACATTTGTCAGTCCTGAAAACCATTCCACTCATTTAAATTTCAAAAACTGACCCCAGATAGCAGATTGCGCTGAAATACCCAACCACTTGGGCTCCGACGGCTATCTCGCTACCCCCAGCATCATCCTGGGGTGCCGGCTGCCAAACACCAGATTGCCATGCGATTGTCCATCCACCCATTCCGATCACGCAGATGGCCAGGACGCTGCTGAAGTTCTTCACCCATGCACTACGGCCGGCCTCGTTCTCCTCGACAATCTTTGCTAGTGTATCGTCGGGTCCATTAGCATGGCCGTCACGGTGCTGCGACGCCCATGACCGACGGCGCGAAGCCGGCCCTTCTTGAAGGCTGTCGCTAAAACGCCGGCCCAGCAACGGGGTGGTCGGGTCAGGTGTTTCAACGGAGGAACGTCGGCGATGGAAGGCCTGAAGACGCGAATTCCGCATCTTGTAGTAGAGGCATTGCCCGATAAGCACACCGTCCGCGATACAGAAATAAACTGCGATAGCCACAATTACGGGAACCAGCCCGGCCCAAAGGCCTCCGACTAAGTTGGTTACGTCACCGACGAACCAAACACCGAGAAAGACAAGAGATATGGCCTCTGCATTACCATTGCGATAATTTTCGATAAGTTGAGGTACCTGGCAAAAGGTAGTTTAGTTGGTTGTCGTCGCAGGGCCCTGCGAATCACAGCGCGGTCGAGAAACGAAGCAGATAAACACATACCAGAACGAAGATCCAGCAGGTCAAAGAAATAGATCCCAAGAGCCCGGAGGCAGCTTCACGGGTGGTTAACGGTACGGGTTCTACCGTAGCCATACTGACCTGCGACCACAGAGTCGGCATTTTCTTTCCTGGGTGAGTGAGCAATGGTTGAATCTGCCGGCGATCCGTGAGGAGAGATAAGGGCAAAGTTAGCTATCTCGCGAAGCGCTCGGATGTAACGTGATAGCACATGAGTCACTAAGATAGTGCAGTGGCAAAGTCCAATCTGATGATTGAAATTTTCCCAATAGTTCTTCTCATCGATCAAGATATGAACAGTCCCACGCATGGCAGAAGCAAATGTCAGGTTTGGATTAAGATTTTATTATAGTTACGGGCGGTTCCGCTGCCTCTCACAGAATGTTTTACTAAGCTGCGATCATTGAGAGGAAGCATCGTTTCACCCGCTTGATAGGAAGCAGTCGAATATTAAGGCCGATGATGTTTATTCTTTCGAAAACCAAAACAAGTAAAAGTACAGGAACGTGTTTCTTGGTCCGATTCTAAATTTAACGGATGCGTGTAACCGAAAATGGAAGCTTGGACAATACAAGGCTCTGTTATGACGTTTTGCCCCAAAACTAACTACCCCAGTTCTTGTATATATAATCCCATACGAACCTGTACCCCACAATACAAATACAACAAAACGAAGACACGGTACCAACTATACAGAAAACACACGCCTTTTCCTCTCTTTAATTTCTACAGCATAATAACCACAAATCTGTTGTTCATTTGAATCCATGAGCCATAGGCGATTAGCGATGTAATCATGGTATATCATTCCGTCACTATACACACATTGAGGGTGATATAATCACACATCCTCGTCTTCATCATATTCTAGTAGCTGAAGTTCATCCTCCAACAAATCGATCGCCATCTCACCCATAGAGTCCCGAATCGGACCATGGAGTAACCGCTGTCGAGTCTCCGGCTGGAGGGCGTCCAAGGCATCTACATACTCAGTCAAGGGCGAGTAGTCGACGACCTCTCCCCAGTTACCGCGATCGACACCATACTGGCGTAAAAATGCTTCCAGACTGTGGAGACCATCTGCCAGGAGCCACTGCTCAAGTTGTGGCTGCTGATCAGCGCTAGGATGTGGACGTGTGGGATTAATCTCGCCTTCGCCCTCACCACTCGGTCCGTTTTCGTCATGCACTTCTTCGCCACCCTGGAACCCAGGGAAACGAATAGCGCCATTGTTCATTTGATCCAGAAGGTCCCGCAGCCACTGTGGGCGACCAGCCTCCGGAACTCGAGACATATACGATGGGGTGGGATCTGACTGTTGGCGGAAAGCCTCTGAGTCATAGGGAGGGAGCGGGTCTGACGCTGATATCCGCCCGGAGACAAAGCGTGTGGGTAGATGCGTTGTAACTCTAGGGATGTCCGAAAGCACCACATGGCGGGCAATGTCGAGTGTGATCTCAGGAGGTTCAACTGGCTCTTCCTCTTCTACCAATGTATCTGCAACTTCCACGATCAATGAAACTGCCTCGGGTGTGTTCCAGAGATCCTTGGCACGGACAATGTAGAGTTCAGTGAGCAATTCATGAGCGTCAGTCGGAGGCATCTTGCCCCAGATCTGCTTAGGCATGGGCTGGATATCAAGCTCCTGCGCTAGCTTGCAAAACACCCATGGGTAGCGCAACATGGCGAGACGAAGCTGCTCTCTACATTCCTTAGGCTTGTTCAACCGGAGGTATGCCAATGCAAGTGAGCATTGAATATTTGGTAGAGACGCCCATTCCTCTCTCAGCCGGGTTTGTGTACAAAGTTCGATGAAATGGGAGTACTCTCGGCCCCTAAGGGCCAAGTGATCGATCAGAAGTCTGATACAGTATGGATCACCGTCATTGAGACTCAGTAACATCTTAGCCCACTCATAGGCTGTCCTCCAGGTTCCTTTCATGCCCAGGTTGGCAATGTACCTCCAACCGACGAGCCACAACTCCCGGTTCGCCATATGCGCAAAATCCAGCCTTGCTTGACCTTCCTTGAGGCTGGTACCAAAGGATGAGTGAGCCGACCTTCCAATGTTGAAAAGCGCCCGTTCAAGGAGATCAGCGGAAACGGCGTGGTCACTTTGGTGCTTGGCTATTTCGGAGACTTGGAGCAGAGTCGAAATATGGTACGGATTATATTGTAGGAGGTGAATCATTCTTTGAGGGTCCATTGACTCCACACACATATCGAACTGCATCTGCACGTCCTTATAGGAAGCGTTGTGAATAAGCCGGTAGACCGTAGGACCAGTTGACGATTTCTCTACCAGCTCCATCCCGAGGCCACCACTAGGGGTGCGAGGCCATTCATCCTTGCCCTGCATCAGGACGTTGCGTCGCAGCGTGACGCCAGCTAAACTCTGACCTCTACTCGCAGGACTGTATCTACCAGTCAATGCGCGACCGAGGTCAATTGTTTCCCGATTCCTGTCTCTTCTGCGGCCTGCGCCAGCATCCTCTTGATCAAAGTTTTCCAACACAACATTACCAAACAACTTTCGCATTTCATTCGTCGCATTGAGAGACTTCGGATCGATGGCTAGAAGCTCCGCCGGAGTCTTTGGAAACGAGGCATCACGATTATTTCCGGCTGCAGCTGTCGTGACATCGCCTTGTGCGGAACGGTTATTGTCAACGGCTAGCTCCCTCAGTGCTCGATCAATCTCGTCTAATCCTTCCTCATCTGCCTTGGTACTCGCTGTTGCTCCATCGGTGGCTTTCGAAAAAGCCTTCTTCTTCTTATTTTTCTTTTTCTTCTTCTTCTTCGAATCTGCCGATTTCGCTGGGACAGGTATATCTTCCGTTGGCTGCATCACCGGCTCGTGAGCATCGTTGTCGGACTCTTGCTCTTCTTCATCCTCTTCATCGGCGGCATTAAGTAAATCAAAGGCGTTCAACTTCGGCTTTGAAGGCTGGGGTACGGGCTCATCTTCGCTTGACTCATCGTTTTCTTCTGCTTGTAACGATACTTGCTGCAACTGTTGCTCGCGCAGCTTTTGCAGCTTGCGAAGTGCGCGGGAGGACATTCAGGGCTGATCACAAGGTTGTATAAATCAGCCAAGTGTAGTGTAATTATCGAGGCCGCGCGGGGAATTGGTGAGTTGGTTTTGTGATGTATAAGCAATAAAAAGCGCTTTTTGTTCATTTACAACCGCGGGGAATGACGACACAGTCTATTTAGGATTAGCGCGGGACATCGTTTCGAAGTTACAATACGAAGACAAAAGAATACAATATCACATGATAAACCGTCGCCTGCCTGGATGCCTGGGTCCGATTAAACCCCGAAAGGTCTCCGCTATTAGACTAGTAAATAGCTTGTGTCATCATACTGTCTCCTTCCAGCACCGCTGGACCCTACAACTCTCTCTACTACATTATTTACTCACCTACTCGATGCGACGTGCAGCTCTTCACGTTTTCCGTAGCGCGCGTCGTGTACCGGTATGGAGAGTTGCTGGTAGGAAGCCGCGTGCTGTGTCATTCTCTAGCAGCCATTCTCTAGCTCTCCGACCGTCCTCCGCCGGGAAACATCCTCCTATCATTCCCGCGACCCTACACTCATCGATGCATCTCCGGAACTTTTCGCTTGCCGTGATATCGACGGTCGTTGCATCTGGGGCCTGGTACGCTTATCAGGGCAGCAGTTCACAGTCGGCAGCAGTAGCGGGCTTGAACCGGACCATATCTACTTCCACCACAGCTTACGCTGAGGATCCCTCCGAGCCAACCCGCCGTGCGCTTCTGGTGGATAATGATCAGTTTTATACCGCTACTATCAACGGAGAAGAACCACTTCGTAAACAGACGGACGACTCTGACCGCCGACTTCTAGAAATGTTGACGCCAGAGCAAGCTACGCAGAAGCTGAGGAAGAATGAAGAATCGTACTTGGTTCATCGAGGCAAGGGTGTTATTCGCTATGACGTGGTGCAAGTGCCTAGCAACTCGCCAATTGAAGACGATCATGCCGAAAAGATAGTAGAGGTGCCGTCCACAGTAGCTACAGCGAAAGAGGGCGAAGCCAACAGCGACTGGATGTTCTGGGGCGTGTTCGACGGGCACTCGTACGTTTATCCCACCTTTATTCGCTGATAAATCTGTATAGAACTGACTGGGTTACAAGTGGCTGGACGACTTCCGCTAAGTTGCGAAATGTTCTCATCTCCTACGTGGCTCGGGAATTGAACACCACTTATAAAGCTGCGGCTGCTGATCCTGCGCTACTCACACCTACCCCTGCAGCTATCGACGCAGCTATTAAGCAAGGTTTTACCCGATTGGATAATGATATCGTACACAACAGTGTCGAAAAGGTACTCAAGTCTAACTCGCGGAGAGTTGCAGCCGAAACACTTGCCCCCGCTCTGTCCGGCTCTTGCGCTCTTCTTGCCTTCTATGACTCCCAGTCAAAGGATTTGAAAGTTGCTTGTGCGGGTGATTCTAGGGCAGTCCTTGGTCGTCGTGGCTCGAACGGAAAGTGGTCTGCAACCGCGCTGTCGGAAGACCAAACCGGCGGGACTCCTTCCGAAATGCAGCGTCTACGGGCCGAACACCCTGGAGAGCCTAACGTTGTACGAAATGGAAGAATCCTAGGCCAACTGGAGCCTAGCCGATCTTTTGGGGATGCGTTCTACAAGTGGAGCAAAGAGACTCAAGACAAAATCAAGCGGCAGTTCTTCGGAAGAACACCCCACCCTCTACTGAAGACACCACCCTATGTCACCGCTGAACCTGTCATCACTACCACCAAGGTCGAACCTAGCCGCGGAGACTTCCTCGTCATGGCTACTGACGGTCTCTGGGAGATGCTAAGCAACGAGGAAGTCGTCGGACTTGTCGGTCAGTGGATCGAGCAACAGCAGGCTGGAAATGTGGGCGGCAACAAGACGTGGCTGAAGAGCTGGCTCGGTTTCGAAAGCAAACAGCTTCCTGTTGAGACTTCGCAAGAAGCGGGAGCCGAAGGCCAACGCCGCCCCATCCGCCAGCAGCAGTATGATATCTCAGGCGTCGCCGACCGATTCACAGTCGAAGACAACAACGCCGCCACCCACCTCGTGCGTAACGCCATGGGCGGTAAGGACAAGGACATGGTCTGCGCACTGCTGACCCTCCCTAGCCCATACTCCCGTCGTTACCGGTAAGTTGCAGTCACACGCCCGCCCAGCCCCAGACACAAACTAACATAAATACAGCGACGATGTTACAGTAGAGGTTATCTTCTTCGGCGAAAGCCCCGACACCCGCACCGTCGAAATCAACAAGGAAGCCAGCGCATCTGAAGAAAACCCTAGAGCCAAGCTCTAAACCATCCCAGAGATACTAGAACTGACATCAATGACGCAAGACCTTACCCTTTACTTGCTTTTCTTATTGTATGGATCCCGTATCCATATGATCCATTTAGTACTCCTTTTATTTCTTCTTCTATTTTCATGTCCCTGAGCACTTAGTATATGCATGCTAGATGATCGTAAGATCTGGGGTTTTGTTTTTTTTTTTTCGGTTTTGGGTGGTGATCTACTATGTGAATATCAGTTAGAATGGCACATCTCTTCAGTGTACTATATCAACGTATAACGGTATAATAGATGTGCACTTTTACCTCCATAAAAATACCACTCTGAGTGCATGAACTTACTCTATATTATATATTCATAGTATGCGAACAATACCATAGCACAATAAGTACAATACCAAGACCTGGCAGAGAAAACCAGACCAAACAAGCAGGTAGCAAACGTACCCCTTAGCCCAACAGAATTTTGAACGTTTTCCGAGGTGATCTATCAGATGTGGTATATTCTGAAAGGTATGTCATGTGGGAAAGTCTCTGAGATCTTCTTGGAGTTAGTTAGCTAGGGTTACTACCCATAAAATATGCTGCATTATTCTGTACCTTTTGAGACTTTAATATTTATAATTGGCAGAGATTCTAGCCTATTAGGAAGGGCGCCTTTCTGGTTACGAGTCGGGGGCCTCACTCGTATGGACGGATATCTGTAGAGTTTGGGTATTTTGTTGATTATGCTCAACTTTTGGGATATTAAATGAGGTTATATATACAAACGGTATTATATATACATGAATAGAAGAAAGAAGGTAGATGTATCGCTTGGTCCATGCCCAAGTCAACTGTTCGTATCCTTCTTTCACGTGCCAGCCAGTGTAGGTAAGGATAGACCCGCCGAGCGTCCTTTGAGCAAGCCACTGGCCGAAATTTGCGCAAGTAGAGGTTGAAGCTGCTGCGGGGAGGGTGTTACTTTGCGCAGAGGTGTATTGACTTCGACGGCGCCTCTTGATGTGGACATGACCGCCTTCGTGTCTGAGTCGCGTGACCTTGTTTGGCGACATAGATGTCTTCTCGGACATCCATGGAGGGGTTGGTCGGGACCCCATATAGCATGTGAGTCCTAGCGGAGCGAAAGCAGGCCTTTCTTATAACTGGGCATCGGCTATTATTGGCCGATTTGGTAAACTTCATACTGGCAGACGCATCTAGCGTTTGAATTATCCAGTCATCACTCCTAGTGGAGTCCCTTGAAGCCCTTTGCGTCCGTCATAGTAGCTCTGTAAATAGAGTCCTCGGGAGCGCACACCTTGTTCGCAGTGTACCCGATATGCATCTGCTTCCAGGGCTTTAGTGGCTCCCTCCTGAACATGCACTTGTCTAAGAAAACAGTTTGCAGCGTGGCAATATTCGTACTGGTGACCCAGTACAGCAGAAGTGCCGCGGGCATTTCATAGTAGTAAGACGAAAGACCGACATTCAGTGCAAGAACCTGGATGAAAGCCCTAATTCCGCGCACGGTCAAAGCCCTATAGAGCTCTATCTTCGGCAAATCGGCCATCTGCGAGAACTTCTTGGCTTTCCAGCCGGCGCTGATGTTGAGCAAGATAGACATGGTTAATGCCGCTGGCAGAATACCCGTCGTGTCGCCTGCTAGTAGATCCGGAAACCAAAGCGCGCCCTCCGTCGCTAGGGAGGGCTCGACCTCTAGATGGAGACGAGGGGCTCCTGATGAAGAGGTAGGCTCGACGAGGGACAGGAGATACGGGATAAGACCCTTGTCATTTCCAGACATGGCTCGGAGAGCCTCCATGACTGATATCCAAATGGGAATTTGGAGAAAGTTAAGCGGCTTCCAGAACTTTGGGATGTTCCATCGCTTTCTTAACTCCGCATGTTTCGATTTCATACGTTGCGCCAGCATAGGAGTAGCCGCCGAAAGGTTTTGAATGTCATTAACGTCGTCGACTTTGAACTTGTTTCTCAATATATCGTCCTTGTAATGTTTCTTCCACGAAGAAAGAAGTGGTACCAAATCTCGCTCTTTGCGCGCTTGGATCTTAGTATATATCTGTAGAGGCATTGCGACGGTTGATCGAACAATCAATGCAGTCAATGGAATGGATACTGCCCATGACAGGCCACTGATTGAATGAACACCCTGTATGAATGTGGACGAAGCGTCCAATAGTTCGTTAACGAAAGGCGACGGCCTTGTCGGATGGAAATGCCGGATTTGCTGCAAAGTTGTCTTCCGCGGCGCGCGGAGTGAGCGATGGAAAGGCCTCATCTTGCCGGCCAATGGCTTTCTGGTTGCTTTATTAGCGTCCGATATGTGCGGTAACACAAGGCGCCGAGAAGAGGAAGCAAAGGAAAAAAAATATATATATATATATAAAGTACAGTAGTAAAGGGCAATTATCGCACTGATAGAGATATCTCCGGGTACACCAGAAAAACAAAAGAACAAATCATGTGATGTATATCACATGATTTTCGATTAAGGTCATACCATACAATACCATACCGAACGGTTGCTGATCGGCACCGACTCCGAGTTGGCTTATCGATAGTGAAACAGCCAAATAATCGCCAGCTGTTTGTTCCACAGCTCCTTGCAGTCGTACCTGCGCGCCGCCCAACATACGGATGAGACTACAATAGTTATGTCCGTTGTCTCTCGCTAGCCATGATGCTGTTTCTATTGAAGACGGTGATCACCGTCCTTGCGCTCCTCGCAACCTGCGTCCTGCTGCCCCGACTTCCCCTGGCGATCCTCCGCCTCGTCCTTCGTGGTGTCGGATGGGTTATTCAAAAAAGAACAAGGTCTCGTAGGGAGTATATTCTCTCGCGGGTCCGGGCTGAAGATGAGGAGGCTTCGTCTAAGCGAAGCAGATCGTCTTCTGGGGCTCAGGGAGAGGATGAGGATTGGGAGAAGCTTGACTCGTCTAGTTCCGGTTCAGGTACACCTGGCAATAACAAGGCCCATGAGAGTGATGATTGGGATGGGATTATAGGGTTCTTTCATCCGTTCTGGTATGGTGACTGCCTCGCCACATGTATGCATACCGTTCATGGGCGCAGCTGACATATCGTTATAGCAACGCCGGAGGAGGAGGAGAACGTGTCCTTTGGGAAGCTGTAAGGGCAACGCAAAAGCGCTGGCCCAAAGCGATTTGCGCCATATATACAGGAGATCACGAAGTCAACAAAACTGCCATGCTGGAGAGAGTCCAGAATCGGTTCAACATTCAACTCCACGCCCCGACAGTGGTATTACTATACCTTACTACCCGTAAATATGTCGTCAGCAGCATGTATCCTTACATGACTCTGCTGGGTCAGTCTTTGGGATCTCTGATTGTCGCCTACGATGCATTCAATCTTTTAGTTCCCGACGTGTTTGTCGATACCATGGGCTATGCGTTCACGCTGGCCTTCTGCAAGATGCTTTTCCCATCCGTCCCAACTGGTGCTTATGTGCATTATCCTACGATATCCACGGATATGCTCCAGTCGTTAGATGATACGACCGGCGTGAAAGGAGTTAACTCAGGTGCCGGAAAGGGACTGAGGGGACAGGTCAAGCGAAAGTACTGGCTTGCTTTCGCCCGTCTCTACGGCTGGGTAGGAGGCCATGTGGACGTCGTGATGTGCAATTCCTCCTGGACATCTGCGCACATTTGCACCATTTGGGGCCCGTCTCGGCGGGAGCAAACTCACAAGGAGCCAACTGTTATATTCCCACCTACGGCAGTTTCAGAGCTCCAATCGGCTATTACAGTAAATGCGGAGAGCGAGAAAAATAGGGAGCCCATCATCTTGTACATTGCGCAGTTTCGGCCTGAGAAGAACCACCCGTTAGTGTTGCGCTCGTTCGCGCGCTTCCTTCAGGAGCGCAGCAAGAATCCTACCTCAGCGTCGCTACCACAGCCCAAATTAGTTCTCATTGGCTCTGTTCGGCATGCCAGTCCCGATGAAACCCACATCTACAATCTCCGGCTGCTAGCGCATGAACTCCGCATCCGCGATCACACCACTTTCATATGTGACGCCAGCTGGCCCGCCATTCTCTCCCACCTCGGTACAGCATCGGTCGGCGTCAACGGAATGTGGAACGAGCACTTCGGCATCTGCGTTGTGGAGTACCAAGCCGCTGGACTCATCAGCGTGGTACATGACTCTGGTGGTCCTCGCGAGGATATTGTCGTTGATCTGGGTGATGGTGCAACAGGCTTCCGCGCCTCAACGGAAGACGAGTTCGCCGCCGCGTTCGAGGCTGCACTGGCTCTACCGGAGCAGGAAAAGGTGGCGATGCGCTTGCGTGCAAGGAAATCTGCCCTGCGCTTTACCGAGGAGGAATTCTCCCTCAAATGGATCAACGAGATAGGGAAACTCGTCCAACTGCAAGTTCGGTGATTTGTAGACCTTTGTCAGCCTGTGATATCCTGGGATATCAAGTGTTTTGTATTCTTAGAATCTCCTAGACTCGGTAGATAAGCGTGTATGTGAGAGTTGTGGTCATTGCGGTTTTGTTGATTAGCAGCGCATCTCCTATATCTATACTCTTTCACTGGTTTTTCTTCCCAGCTCTAACAACAGAATACTGTCACACTATGAGTTTTGAAGGAACCTGCATCTTGTTATGCTATTCCCTGATGCCCAGCTGTCTCACCAATATTGACCTCACCCAGAACACTCATTGCCCTAACTCCAACCGATGCGGTATACCCAAGGAACCGTATCTTTGAATGTCAGCAAACAGATTTACGTTGACCTAACATAGATGGTAACCACACTTCTAAAGGCAAAACAGAAATATATTCCAGAACAACAACCACGGACACAATAGGTAATAGACTTAACAGCCCAAACACGCATCCACTCGAGGATATCCCGCACACGAAACAGATGGAGTATTTCCATGGGTATGAAGACTCATCGTAAACACATAAGAATGACGGTCCGCAACCCTTGCGGACTAGGGGGAATCGAATCAAAAGCAAGATGTAGAAAAATAGAAGAGGCAAGGGAAGTAAGAGAAAAGAAAACCTAAAACACAAGCGAGAGAAAGCATGCAAAATGCATCCCGTACTTCGGTATATCAACGAAAGTTACACCACCGTCATCTGGTTTCCACCTTGTATCTCAACGCCAAAAAGTAGAACCCTCTATGTTTGACTAAAATCCATGGTAACCTGCAAATGATTGGCTCAATGCCAACTTTCGAGAAAGAAAAGTAATAATAATAAAGGGGGTGTAGATGGTGATAAAAGGGGGAGTTGAATTGGAAAGTAGGAAAAGAAGAGAAAGATGAAAGAAGACCAGGGAAAGGTCAGCCGGACAAGGCACCACTTATGATTAGGCATAGCCTGAGTCCCCAGGGTTGACGTTCAGCATTTGATTCTGATTGTTCATCACGTAAAGATTGTCCTGGGGACTTCCGTACCCACTCATGCCGGAGACACTGCTGAGGTTTGACTCATCATCTTCGAAGCCAAACTCGCCGCCTGAACTGGCGTCAAAGCTACTACGACCTCCGATGTCACTAGGATCCTCTGCCGCCGCAGTTATCTGATCCCACTGCAAGTTCTGTAGGGCTGGGTATTGTGCCAGCAGCGCGGCTGGGAGAACAAAACCGTTGGCATGCTGACCGTCCATTCCCGGCACCATGAGCGGCTGCGGGACCGGCTGTAAGTGGCCCGCATGCTGCTGATGCTGTTGATCCATAAGCGAGCGCTCTCGCTCTTGAGATTCTTCGTCTAGGAGTGGCTTGATACAGATTCGGCCCGCCTCCGATCGGAAATGGCGGCCCAAGGCATCTGCACGGGCAAATCGGCGACCGCATCCCCACTGCCCGCCCCGTGATAGATCGCCACGGCAGACAAACTTCTTCTCTCCGGAATGCAGGCCTTCATGCCTTTTACGATCGTGTTGACGAGCGAATGCCTTCCCACAGACGGTACAGACAAACGGTCTTTCATCCGTATGGGTTCGCAAATGGGACCGGAGATTGTAGGCTCTGGTGAAGCGTTTGGGACAAAGATGACACTGGAATGTAGCAGGGTGTTTCTGAACACGCTTGGAATCATTAGGGCTTGCGCCGGGCCGCTGAGGGTCCGCGAGACCCAAAATATAATTGCGGTTGTCAATAGATGACGTAGACAGACGACGAGATCGCGAGGGCGAAGGGTCCCGGGACGAGGGGTTACTGTGTGGCTGGCGGCCTGTCGGGTCAAACGGCGACAACGACCGTGGGGATGACGGGGCTAAGGGCTCTAGGCTACTCGATACTGACACAGGGGATCGTGAACGAGAAGCCGGATGGGCGTACGGATCAGATTTGCTACGCATGCGGCCTGTATTATTAGATTAGCATGTTATAAGGAGTGCCAAGATTGACGGCAAGGACACAGGGATTGGCTCTTACGCATAGACGGAGGCGGACTCAACGAATCTAAATCTGCCGTTGGCTTGGTTGAAGGAAAGATCGGGTTTTTAGCAGGTGGCGCGAACTCCACGTTAATGGATGGTGGCGCCATCTGTGACGCCTGACCAATATCCCCGACGATGGCGGTTCCCTGAGCCATATTAGCAACGCCTTCCGTTCCGTTGCCATAGATATCCGTGGGAGGACATGAGTATCGGTTCCCGGCGGGAGCGGAGATATACGGCATGTTAGGGATCATATCGTTCCCCTGCTGGGGCATTAGTTGCGGAGAAATGTACGGGCTGTGGACTGGACTGATGCCCTGATGGTGGTGGTGGTGCTGCTGCTGCTGCTGCTCCGACAGTGTGAAGGATTCAATCCCGAGCGAGCTGTCGTAAAGTCCTGGGTCATTCTGAGGCGCCAAGAGCGGAGATGGGTTATTATCTACCCCGTCAAAGGACTCATGCTGTGACATGTACGGAGAGGGCGCAGCGGATGACACTTCAGACACCTCAGAGGGGGCACGCCGATGGCCCTGAAAGGCGGCATTACCCATCATGCTCTGCCAGTCCGGAGGCGCATTGCCCGTCAGATATGCAGCACTGGCTGGATCCAACGACGTATGACGGGAGTGCTGAGGGGTATAGTATGCCCCTGGCGTTGAGCCTGGAGGAGACATAGGGCCCGGAGACGAATGATGAGGCTGCTGGTCCTGCGGAGACATCTGTGGAGAGGCGACGGCGTGAGGGGAGGATATCTGACCGACCAGATCGGCCGGGTTGACGGCCTGGCTGACTTGTCGGGGATGCCCCTGCATCTGAGTGTCCAGCATCAGCGAGGAATCGTATTCGGAGGCGGTCGTGCTGTTGGGACTATGATTCGGGTATAGGGAGAAATCGAAGTCGGTCGGGTTTGAGTTCAGGAGGGTGGAGAAGTTTTCCTCGTGCGGCTGTTGATGTTGCTGAAGCTGTGGTTGCATCGGAAGCCCCGATGAAGGGTCGAGCTGGTTGACCAGCCCTGGGTCGAAGGACTGGGGCAGTTGGAGGCCGTGGGAGAAAGCTTGATCGGGCGGGGCCAGTGTTTGCGCGCTGGTCGGGGAGAGGTAGCCGCCCGCGGTATAGCTGTAGGACTCGGCGCCCGGTGAATTCGGATTCGGGTTGGCATTAAACGATGCAGAGGTTTGGAAAGCTGAAACGGCGAAGGAAGGGTCTAGAGTCAAGCCGGGCGAAGCGTTGTTGTATTGGTGCTGCGGATGGGCTGAGGGGCTCACGCTGCGGTTTTTAACGTGCGCAGTCGATTGCCCTGCATCCCGGAGCGTGTCCTGGGAAGCCATCGCGAATCGAGGTATCCCAGAATAGATCCCACGCGAAGCAAGGCTGAGGGCGCAGAAGACGCTGTGGAAGCAATGGAATGATCGCTCGATCACTCAAAGCGGGGATTTCGCGTCGATGGCGGGCGGAAGAGAGGGGCGGTGATGGTGGATGAACAGGAATTGTTGGAGCGATAAGGCAGATGAATGGTCAATTTCAGGCACACATGGGGAAGGGGGTAGAAACGAGACGATTTAGTATATAAGAACGGGGCGAAACGCTGACAGGAAGGTGGACAAAGTAAGGAGCGATAGGGGGCAGTCGATCAACTGTGGGAGTGCACCTTGCGAATCAGCCTCGTGGGAGCGCAAGTCAAGTCGGTCTGGGGGAATGTTTCACATTCTCTCTCTCCCACAAGGGAGTTTAAGTATGTGTTATTTATTATGTATGAAGGTATGTATTGGATGTATGTAAGAAAAGGTAGCCTGCAATAAGAAAATGGGGGCCGTCAATTCCCCGCTAGTCGTTTGTCGAAGAGCCTCGCCGTAATATGAAAGGGATCCCAACCCAGTCGCTGGTGGTGGTGGTAATAGTTGTAGTGATAGTCGTCGTCGTCGTGGCGGAAACAGAAGACGATCGATGAATATAAAAAGGATCGAAGATCCCCTGATCAAGAAAAATTAAATGTTTTCTTCCTTTCCAGATACTTTCCCTTTCCGGGTCCAGCAGCCATACCATGCCCGGGCGGCCTTGCTGCCTGAACCACTCGCCATGCACGTGAGGTTGGATCCAAGGTTATGTTTACAATTATTCCCTCACTCAGCTCTCTTTCTCGAGGATAATCTAATAATAGTCTCCAAACCTTCGTTGTCACTGCCTACCAAATTCCTTACCATATATTTGGTGGATCTGGTTGGTAAAAGCAGGAGGGGGATTTTTATTCTAGAATACGAAACAGACACTCATAGTAGTATTAGGCCGAGTTGATTGATGCTCCACCCAAGACTAAGAACTGCGGGCTCTGGGTTGGTGGTACGGTATGTACGTACATATTTATACATACAGATATCCATGCTCTTTGACAGGAGAGAGAGATTTTTTAGGTCCTTTGTCTGTTACTCAAGCCTAAAAATAATTAGGTAGCTATGAAGCCGAGTGAGATACAGCGATCGCGTCGAGGTGGTTGTTAGGCAGGTAAGATCAGTCCCTATTACTATACCGCAGTATCTTTGTGGTACGGATATGTCACAAACAAGCACTGCGAAACTACTGGAAGCGAAGATTTGCAGAACAATCAACGGCGTCCCATTCGTCCAGAGTCTTAGCATATGATGGTGCCTGACGACAACATGGCAAGAATACATCATGTAGATCCATCATATGTCATTAGTACCGTACGCATCATGATAGGTCTGTATTGTCTGTATGGACAATACAGACCATCATGAGCCCTAATTCCATTGCCACCATGAGCAGTTAGTTAACTATTGTGTCTCTGCTTAATAAAAGCAACTTCAATGCAGGCAACACAGCTCCAAACAAAGGAAAAAAAAAATCATAAATCATTGTGCGCGAAATAGACGACTAAGCACGGGGTCGATTTAATGAACTCGTCTACTCAGCGGTGGATCCCAACCACTGTCAGTGACTACTATATCTCGTTCTCTGATGGGCCTCCCCACAATTTCTCAACTAGAGTTATGCCTAACTGCAAGGAACGTCGATGATTGGATTTAACCACGACTATCACTGCGATATCCGGGATAGAAAGTCAGCCTGACGGTCTCTCAGACTCTCACCGATTGCCTTTGCCCACTCCTTTCGCTTCTTCATTTCCCTTTGAGCCTCCCGGAACGAGGCTAGTGATGGGATGATGGCCTGACTGGATTGCTCAAGTGGAACTCAACCACAATCCGCCTTCTTGCACAGCCACCGCTGGTGCTACCTTTCTCGCTTCCCCCTGGTGGGTAGGGATCCTTTTTTTGTTCTTTGTCGGTTCTTTTTATTCTCCGTCGAATGATGGAATTAGTCCATTATTGAGTTAATTCTAACAACCTCTCGTTGCCTGTTCTATAATTATACGATATGTATGTATGTATGTTGGTAGGTAGGTATGTACATCTATGCACGGACGCATTGGAAATTAAGTTTTGGTACAGGGGGAGGAAAACATCCCCCCCCCAAAGGTACTAAATCAGACCTGTCCAAACGCCTTCACACTGCTGCGCACCTGGTTGGTGTTGTAATCGACCAACAGATTGTCCTCGCAGCTCGATCCCAATCCCGCGTTCTTGGTCCAGGCTGGCTCCCAGTAGAAGAAACCGGAGGCCTTGGTGGCCGTCAGCGTCTCCGACAAGCGTTGCAGGAACGTGGTCTGGCCCTCCTCCGAGAAAGGAATGTCCGTGAGGTCGGAAGGGAAGGCGAACTCGGGGCTAGAGCACTTCACGGGCCAGTTGGTTTCGACCACGACAGCCTCCTTGTTGTATGTGGACTGGATGTTCGTCAGGCTGGTCTTCAGCGAGGCCAGGGTGGCCTTCTCGTTGTAGAAGGGGTAGTAGGACACGCCGATCATGTCAAAGTCGTCGGACGTGAGGAGACCAGTGCCGAGCGTGGTATCGTAGAAGTACTTCTGTTGTTCCCAGTCCCAGCCGTTGTCGAGGTGGATCAGGATCTTGGGCTTCGTGGCCAGCTTAGAGTCCTTCACGCCCCAGGCGCCAGAGTGCAGGAGCCGCGCGATGCTCTCGTAGTTGGGAGTCTGGCCCAGCGGCCAAAGAAGTCCCGAGGTGATCTCGTTGCCGATGGACACGATTTCCACGCTGATGCCTTCCTCTGCGAAGGTGTTGCACACGCTCAGCGTGTATTGGTAGATCTGATCGGCCAGAGTGTTGATGTCGGTGGTGGACCAGCCATCCGGGGTGGTCTAATTAACTTTTTGTCAATATACCGCCATGGAGCACAGCACATCAATAGCACAATTGATGAAGAAGGGCAATACCTGATGCTTAGGATCCGCCCAATCATCGCTGTAGTGGAGATCCAGGTAGATACTGGCGCCAGTAGCCGCAACCCGCTTCGCGAGGTTGACATTGTAGGTCAGGTCATAGTCGCCATTTTTCACCCACACACGCTGACGGATAGAATTGACCCCGTTATCGGTCAAGATAGCTTCCAGAGCCTGAGTCTCACCGGCCAAGTTCTTGTAGGCAACGCCGGCCTTCTCTTCGATGAAGACAGAAGAGATATCCGCACCGCGGTAGGTGAGGGCGGCATTGGCCAGAAGGGGGAGAGTCGCAAGAAGGTAAGAGAAGAGCATTGTGACCGTGGATCAGTCAAACCCAGTAACTAAAGGGGGAAAGAAAAAGGCCTGTCTGCGGCTTGAGAAAAAGAACTCGACCAGGATAGTTATCAGGGGATTTATATAACTAACCGGACGGTCTGGCGCATCCAAGCATTCTCATGACGCACGCGGAGGAACTACTTTGATAAATACAGTATCCCCTCATGGCCTGAACTTGCAATTAATCAATATAGAACAATAACGGGATCCGTTCTCCCTTAGACACGGAACAATTGTCCACAGGAACTCTTACGCACGATATCATTGGTGGATGGGCTATGCCCGGTGTTCCGTCTGTGATAGCAATTAGGGCTCCACTATACTGGGCCCTGACTTGAGATGTTATTAGATCTTGAACGTTCCACTGCGCAATGATCGATGGCCTTCATCTACGAGCGAAATGGCAAATTCTAAATAAGACTTCCTAATCTGCAGTTCCTAGTCTATCCATGATTCCCCTCCCAGGGAACTGTACAAGAAAGATCAACCCGAAAGGAATACAATATCGGCCCGGCTCGGATGGCTGTTTCACATCCGTCGGTGATCTACACTCGACCTTAACGCTATCCGACCACCGAGAAGATGAGCCATAGCTCAAGTAAAACAATAGCCCGTCACTACCAGGGAACACTGACCCGGCGTATACGAAGGATTTCCTACGGAGTACTCTTAGCCTTACCGAGTTAGCTATATACCATGATAGGGAGTTGACCCCACAGAGAATGTTTAAAGTCTGGAAAAGAAACTCAGGGTTCGATTTAGGTCCACTGGTGCCCATAATACCTTCTGCATCATCCCTGTTGGGGAGTGGGACAACATTTGGCTTCGAGAACACATTGTCCATAAGCTGGGGACCCCTACATACTAGTATCATTTGGTATACCATGTCACTGGGAAGTGTCTTTAAGGGTACGACCTAGAGCTTCCGCCCGAGTCGTTAGCTGTATGTTGTAGTCTCAAGTATCACGACACTTGGGGCAAGTAGAGGCACACTTTGTATAGTTCACTAAGGATTAGATATAGAATACGTAAGCGGAAGGAGGCATAGAACTCCAGATCCGAGATACAAACACACGATTCAAACGTGATCCTACTATCGGCATAGGACGACGTAATACGTCCAGTTACGTTTAAACTTTGGAGCTATGATGCCACCGAAACCAGTGAGTCTTTGTATTCTTCTCATCATTTCAGATATAGTTGTAAATGCAAGTTCTCTTCGGGGCTTCTAGAGGCCCCGTTTGCTAGTCATAGCCATCATTCAACCCACACAAAATAGGAAAGACATGATCATGAGTCTTGCGGGTTCTCCAAAGGAACAAACCGCTCTGTGTATCCTGATCCCCCACTGTATCCTCCTCATGCCGGCATTACATACAAAGAAAAATCACCAATGCCCCGAGCCCTGATGCACCAAACCGAACAGAAGTATATATAGACGCAAAAGGCACAGGTGAAAAGTGCATCAAAGGAGAACAGGCGAATACCTAGCGTCTGTCGTAGGCTCCCCGACAGAGCGGCGCTAGGAGAAAAATAAAGGAACCAAGGGCAAGGTGACAGAAAGCCAAATATAGACGTGCCATCAATGCAAATATATGTACAAGCAATGGATAAGTGTCTCGCACATTCCGAAGCAAGAAAGGCCTTTCCCAGTCTATGCCATGTAGGCTAGGGAAGGCAGACACAAATAAGAAGGTAAGCCCAACAATAAAATGATATACATGCAAAACCGGGCTCCAGAAGAATAGAATGGCAAGCTGTTATAATAAAGAGAAACAATAAATAAATAGAAAAAGGGGACATAAAACCATACGAGGTGACGAAAATAATGGCCTGGTAAAGCGAGAAAGATCCAAAGGAACTTTTCTTCGGCTGCGAGCCGACCATCAACGAGATAGTTTTAGTGATGGGCACTGACATCTATAGGTCAAGACTTGGGCAGGCTGCAACCACGTATGATTGGCTTCTGGGGTGTTGCCTTCTTTTTACCAAAGACAATGCCCTCGTCCTCAGAGTCGTCTTCCGATTCATTTTCATCGTCGCAATAATACCGAGACTCGTCATCATCCGCGGATCGAGTCGTGCTTGCCTGCTGTGCTTTAACGGTTTCACCCGTACGAAGAATCGACGGCACTTGAATTGCTGGAACGCCATCTTTCCCTGGAGCATCGCCTCCACTAGAAAGCGATGACGCCCCTGAGGCGACGGAGGGTATACTCGGATGAGAAGCGCTCTGAGACATGCCACTTGTGTAGTCCTCGAGTGAGGATGAGGCAGCGGACGGAGGTGATGTGGTCAGGCCCCCAGACGGTGAGTCGGAAAAAATATTTTCACCAAGTGAGTCCGTAGCTCGGGGCTGCACCTCGGGTCGTAGGTTGATGCAATCCTTCGTAGATGGCTCGCTTCCCCTACGATGACATGGTTTGAGCCCATTAGGAGGAGGTTCAATGTCACTCCGTCGCTGACGTAGCAAGGCTTCCTTGGTGAGATGAAATGGCTCCGTAGAAGACTTGCCAGGCAGTTGATGGGAGCGGTTGCGGCGGTGACCTGACGGTGTCGTATTTGACCCTTCCACCCGTAACAGGGATACGTCCTCCTCTGGCAGCAGATTAGAATGTTGGCCGATTGCAGATGCGACGCTCAACGCCAGGGTGGGCTCGCAGTGACGGTCCCCATCCAAGGACGCAGTCTCAGAGATCGATCTATCGGAGCGCTTCTCTCCCGACTGGAGGCCTCGGGCAAGTCGAAGGCTTGCGCCGCCAAATAGGCCGCCGACGTTCGTAGTTCCTGATGTCTCCATACGAGCGGGGGTGACGTTTCTTTGGGGCGCGGGTGTGATATTAAAATTGGTTGCCTTTATTGTCTTTGCAGATTCGGCTGTGGATAACGTAGATCCGGCACGCTCTGGTGGCTCCGGCCGTGGGGTCCGGTCGAGCGATATGGGTGAATTCACCAGGGCTCCCTCGAAATAACAAGTTTGCTCATCCCGACCCACCGGGCTCGCGGTGACACTCTGCGAGAGGGGATGCTCACCATCCTTGCTTAAACGGGGCGGGCGTAAAAAGTCTTCATCCCTGAGACTAGCACGACGAGTGTCCCAAAGATACTTCCCAAAACTGTTGGTACTTGAAGTGGACGAAGACTCGACGGAGGGAGCCGCACTAGAAGTACGCTTGCGAGGATCTTTATCCTTCGACCTCCCGGTAAGGTAGTTGGACCACTTGGCAACATTGGAACGCACACGTTGTATAAAAGGTACTTTGCTCACAGCCGTTGTGACTTCTTCATTAGACACTTCGATCCTTTTACCTTTACTCAGATACCCCGGATCAGTCTCCTCGACCCATGCTCTGGGGTTGGGTAGGCCGTCCAGGACCCAAGGATGATGCTTGATCTCTTTCACGGTAATTCTCTTCACCGGATCCTTCGTTAGAAGGCGTTTCAACAAGTCAAACAACTCATCGTCGATATCCTCATACCCGAGCTCATCTTCCATTCGCTTACCGCTATTCGCATGACGAGGCCATTGACCGACGGTGTCAGGGTCGTCTTCGACAGGCTTCAGGCGTTTGCGTGGAATGAAGACTTCCTTCTTCACAATCGTTTGGAACATGCTGTATTCATCATCGCCGACAAATGGCAAGCGCCCAAAGATCATACCATAAAGAGTTACGCCAAGGGACCAAACATCGATAGCACCGGTAATCCGCGGGGCGGACCCAATGGCGTCGACGAATTCTTCGCCTGTATAACACAGCTCAGGAGCGTAGAAAGCGGGCGTTCCAACAGTTTTAGAGAGCTCCCGAGCGTCATCCAGCTCAGTCGCATCGGTCTCTCCAACTTGCTCCTCGTCCTCATCCCTCATGGGTCGCCCTAGGTAAGATACACCAAAGTCCGATATTTTAACACGGTAGTTGCTGGTGAGCAGGAGGTTTGCAGGCTTGATATCACGGTGAATGATACCCTGATAGTGAAGATATTCGAGACCCAGCAAGGAATCCCGGAAAGCGTTGCGTGCGTCATCGAGTGTCAAACAGGGAACATAAGACATATCATCGTCGTCGGGCGTCCATTCGGGTTCCGAAGGTGCGTGTCCAAAGCTACTCGACGCTGTGCTAAACCGTCTTTCAAACGGATAATCTATATAAGGCCCATACATACTGCCCTCCACCGCGGCTAGGGCCGCATCATGGGAGGAATGGCTGGGCGAGGACTGGATGTCTGAACAGCTGAGCGTACGAGTGACCGTCAATTCGGGACCCAATTCATCATCTGACTCGGCTCCATGCTCTAAACTCCAGGCGGGAATAGGGCCTTCCTGAGCGTGTTCTGCCTGCATTTGACGTCGCTCACGGGCCTTCTCGCGTTGGCGGCGGAGATGCTGGGCAGTCCGGACATACTGCTGACATTCTTCCATGAACGATGGGGAATCGGGAATGCCTGCTTTTTCGCGCTCCAGTCGACGTTTATCCACGTGGACGATTTCACGCAAGCCTCGTCGCCGCCAGATGATTTCACCATTCTCAACGTATTCAAGGACGATGTATACCTTCTGCCGATTTGGATCATCGATCACCTCTAGGAGGCTAACCACGTTCGGGTGCCGAGCCTTCTTCAGGATCGCAACTTCCTTCTTAACCTTGTCCTCGGGGTTCCCAAGCTTCCCCAGACGGCGTCGTTTCGAATACCGCTGGACAATCTTGATGGCAACCTTCTGGCGAGAGCCCACGTGTCTCCCTAATTTCACTTTCCCATGTTCGCCGCGTCCGAGCTCTTCCAGAATCTCATATTGATTAATGACTTTGTTTCCAGTCACAGTATCTCGGTCTACTTCAGCAGTATGTGTCCTATGAATACCCTGTTAGCCATGACAGAAACCATGAGAAAAAAAAGGGCGGCGGATGGAACTTACTCTTTCGGCGGCTGGAGATGGGTTGGGTGAAGGAAAGGGCTACTGATGCGGCCTTCATCATCTGACACGAGTGAAGAAGTCGAACGAAGAGGGCTGCGGACAGAGAATAATCCCGGGCTGGACGCTGGGGTATTGCCTGCTGTACGAGAGGCACGCGACGGGGCAAATCGTCCAAGAACCTCGATTCGCGACGGATAGGAGCTCCGCGAACGGAGAGACGGATGCTGATAAGTAGGATGGACTTGGGACTGGAGGACAGCGTAGGATTGATCAGGATAGACAGGGTATTCGGGAGATTGAGTATCCGACTGCCCTAGGTGGGAACTCCTCCGAGGAAGGGGACCCCGTCCGATCGCGCCGAGCTCCGACCGAGCATCTACAACACTATCCTCGTTCAATGCTTGAAGTGAACTCGAAGAGGTTCGGGTGGACGGTGATCGCGAGGTACTGGAGGAATGGTAGAGATGCGAGAACGGGTGACGCAGAGCGGTCTGACCGTCTGCCAGATCGTGCTGGAGGGGAAGTTTGGCGGTTGGTGGCCTGGTAACGGACTGTTTCACATCGACCTCTGTTGACGATTGCGACGATTCCGAGCCCTCACGGGGCTTATCCCGGGCGTGTCTGCGGGCGCTGTCCGATATATGGCCATTTCGGGCAAGATAGTTAATGGGTTCCTCCAGACCGGATACTGAAGGGGGCCGATCAGTCATTTTCATGTCTTCAAATCTTTCGAACCAACTCTGTTCTAGTTGCAACAGAGCATCCTCTTTCTTTGTGGCCCCCTCTCTACTCCCTGTTTTTGACACTCTTGTTCCTCCCTTTCGTTTCCTCCCTTATCTTAATTTTCTTATAATTATTACCTTTCTCAATAAAAGCACTCGATTTAGGGCGAGCCGATAGGAAGCTCGGATGCTGCGCACGAATGGGCCGGCATTACTCTCAGTATTTAACAGGGATGAAAGTAATGACAGCCAAGCAAGTCGACTGGCGAGACAACCGTATGCCGAACAGCGGTGGGATTGGCGGGCGAGAGTATAAAAATGTCCGGGCGATAGACCTGCTACAGCACCAGCATTCAGTTGACTGTTCGGCTACTCTGCGCGGCAAGCGGATCGGCGTGGAGTACCGGAGGGGAGGGGCCCGAAGGAAAAGAGTTGTCCAAGTATAGAAACTCGAAGCGGCAGAGAATGACTCTTATCTATATAAGAAGAGTCCGCAATGGAGAAATGAAAGATATTAAGGAAAATATTCTTATAGATAAGGATAAATTGTAAAGTGAACAACGAGAAACGGAGGAGAAGGAAAAATTGAAAAATGGAGAGTCGTAAGGATTTTAGTGGGGAAGGAAGAAGAAGGGAAAAGGGGAAAGGAAGAAAAAAAAAAGGGAGGGAGGAAGAGTGGTTGTTCACGATGGTGGAGGCAGAGGGTGACGATGGCGGAGGACGATGTGGTTGAGGTGGTGATTAAGCTGCTCCTCCGGCGAGAGGGTTTCTTGTCAGGTGGGAAAAGTGTCCAAAGAAGGAGGGGGGCGGTGGTGGCATCAAGATTAAGAGGAATGCATGTTACTATGTATGTATGTAGTATGTACTGTACAATTTAAGGTATGGATGCCAGTCAGTGTCTTGTCACCGTTTAGTACGATGTGTTTCTATGGGATGCAAATACTCTGTAGGTTTGGGAATATAGTTTCTCAATCCCTTTTCTTTTTTTAATTCTTAAAATTTCTTTGGGTGGGGAACTTAATCTACTAGTAAGGGGAAGTTGTAAGTCGGCTATCGATAAAGATGCTCCGCAGAAATTTTGAGCAATCTTTTCCACCAAGAAGATGGATACTACTGGTTGTTCGGTTGGTGGCAGGTATTGGGTCTGACTGGCTTGTATTGTAAAGTATGGTGCCGAGAAATCTGAACTTTTTTAAGCCACGGTTATGGGCTTGATCCTTGGCACTTGGTTGGGACAGTCATTCCATCCTCAGGCTTTCATGGCACCACCCTAGCGTTAATCTCCATTGGAATTTCTTAATATAACTTTGACACTGACTCTCATAGGTTTGGTTGATAACTTTTGGCTAGCTCCTGGGAAGAAAATATAAATATGTTGAACTACTATAAGAAAGAATTGATATTTTTTTCTTCTTCTAATTTTACCAAAAAAAAAAAAAAAACAATAATAATAAATGAAAAAGAAAAGATTTAAAGGGAAAAAAATAATGTACCCAAAATGCGAATTTTTCCAGTGGCGGATTCTCAGCATGCCAAGCACTCATTCGAAACCCAGCGTCATTACGTATGGCACCTTTTTCCGTACATCGTCAACGATTCATGGCTCCATCTGCTACGGAGTACATCATCTACCTCCCTGCGACGATAGCACGTCGTATCTCGGTACCAGGGACTGTCTTTCATCACGAGTACGACATTAATTATTGTCTTGTCCTCGTTTCCCTACTATCGATTTCTTTGCCTCTCTTATCTTGTCTATGGTTTTCATCAGTCCATCCTACCTGTATAGTACGTTGGCTTTTTTTTCATTGACTTCTGAAATAGATAGAAAGGTGAAGGTATAAGAGCAAACAAAAAACAAAAAAACAAAACCAGAGCCAGCACTTTTGAAGGGGGAAAAAAAAGCTACTTTGTTGGTGGCAGCTGTCAATCGACGCCTAAAAGTCCCTTCTCGATCGTTGATCTTGGGTTGTTCCGTGGGTCCCAATGGCTATGATCAACTCTCTTTCCCGCTTAAACTGTCCCGCCCCATCAGTCTCGGCCATTCTAGCCAGCGTTCTATACTGTCGGTGTCTTTTCTAGTATCTTCCAATGTCGCAGGAAAGCCATTCCATCAACTACCCCGAAGAATCCAACGGTCTCTACAGAGTAGTGATGTAGATCGACTCGAATTCATACATCATCCAAGACCTTTAAAATAATTTAGCTGCCGGCTAAAGGCTGACCAATCGAGGAGCGGCCACAACTTTAGCTTCGCGCGGTGAGCTTGGGCCGGGAGGTCTGTGTTTTCTCTCGACAATACCTTAATGGGTTAACTCCCACACGAGCATAACATGAACGCCATGACAGGCCATTCACGGGGCCGGTTTGCCAACAACACCTCACACCCTGACATCTGAGTCGATACTACCTACCTTCAGACAACTTATCCGTCAACCCTGGATCCGCACATCGTATACGATGCTGTGGCTGCACCTCGTTTCCAAGGTCCCAGGCCCCTTCCATACCTGCGGCGCGGGGAATTTAGTCCATCGACCACAAACCGAATATGGTAATGTCAGACTAGAGTTTAGTAGGTTTTAGTGATTTTAGCCCGACTAAGTTTCCTCCTTCTCCAGACCATTGGAAATTGCTCGAAACTTACAATGAAATGACAAGAGAAGCTAGCTATACATGATCTGCATGATATGTGTCGCAGTCTGACCCATCCCACGCGGCGCAACTAAATTAGAGCGAACTTCCCCCTCCTTCTCCAGCCACGACCGATGCTTCCCTGGGGGTTTGGAGGGGGGTGGCTGTTCGGTCCATGAAAGACCGTTGGAGAAGTTGATTGATCCCATCTCCTCTTTTCCATTCGTGAAACCCTAACTCAGTCTGATGGGAAGGGAAAGCCAGCCGGGCGGGAGTGAAAAGAGAGTATGAGAAGAACATGGATCCGCGACGGAAAGAACGTTTGATGGGACATGGGGAGACCTTCCTGACATGGAAGGACACCTTTGGGCTCCAAAAGGTCTCTTATGCACGTCAAGATTGATAATGGTAACGGGGAGGTTCCAGGGTTGCGTTGCTCCTCTCCCATCATCCCTATCCTTACGTCATGGAGGCCCGATTGGCGATTGCGTCCAACTTCTCTCAGTCGGTCTCAACCGGTCGAACAATGTGATTGTCCTTGGACTTGACCGTCCTGTATCATATCATACCGGAACTATACTATTAGACCTGTTAGAAAGACCTTCCATTTTTATTTTATTTCATTTTATTTTATTTTATTTATTTTTTTTGAAGAGGAGTCGGTCGCATCAAAGAAACGAAGATGTCCCGTTTACCCTACCCTGGAATCGGTGTCAGATAATTTTCCTTACTCCACCTTTTACCTGACCCTAGGATACCCTAACGAACTAGGGAGGAAGTTAAGTATAGCTCGTAGAACTTACACCAGCAACGGGACCCTCCGTCCCTCCAGGCCAAGCTATCCGATCGCCAGAGGTCATGATTGGAAAGAGTGGTAAGAGTGGGCGCGCACAGGGCAACTGCGCGGCCCACGAAATCATCCAGGGTACGACTCAGTTTCATCAATAGTTGGAAACGGAGACCGAGTCCGGCTGGGCTGACAGTTTCTTGCAATATGCCTTACCGTATCACTACCGGATTGAGCCACTTGCATCGCAACCGGGTGAAAGAGAGAGGGAGATGATTGGTGGTGAGCCCTCCGACCAAGCTTTATAGCGCCTGCCTGCCTTTCACCAGAGAAATGCAAATGAGAAGGCGGCCTCGTGAAATCTCAATACACGGCACTTTGTCCGATCCCTCCATCGTCATTGTTCCCCATCCCCCCCCTCCTCCTCCCCATTCGATCCTTGGCCGTTGCGCATCGAAAGCGTCCCATCCTCATAGGTCGACGTGGTGGGCTTGCCCAGACGTTGCACAATTGTTTCCCATCAATACTAATAGTTACTAGTATTCATGTCAATTCTATCAGCGCTTCCCACTCAATGCTCCACGCCTTGGCGAGTCACCTCATGTTTACCCCTGCATTCTATCGAACCGGTTCCGCTACCGTTCTCTCCATGAGGCCCAATCACAGATACACTGGATACGAGTATCGCCCCTCCCCCGTATCTGTTTCCCCAGTCCTGGTCTCCTTGGGATCTGATAGGCCTGCCCCATGTGCAATCCTGAGCCGACAGCCGTACGATTGTGGCTTTCATTTGGTCCATGCGTTCTTGGGGAGATGATCAAGATGATATGCACAGTCCTCCGCTGATGTCAAAAAAGTCTGATGGATACGTTACTTTCTCGGCGACCACGGATCGTCCCCCCAAGGCCTTTACTACTAGTAGTAAGCCCTACTATAACTAGTTAACTATCCCGTATTTGTCAATGGTTCCCAACGCCGATAGGCTGACACCCGTCGCTTTTAGCATCTCCTCGGTAACAGAGCCAGGGTTACCTATCCATCTGGACGTCAAACAGATTGTTGCGATTCACTAGCCCCGTTCAGCACACCTTCAAATAGCTCCAAGGCAGGGACCCAGCGCAATATATACCCTTCCGTTTTCAACCAGAAGCAGCCGTGTGCTGGCTGCACTGGAAATTCTCTACCGTCGTATTGGTCGGGCGTTGATTGATATCGCAGCGTCACTCTGCGACAATTAAGTCAGGCTAGTATAGGTGTCCACCCCATCAAATAAAGAGAGTAAAGCCTTAGGGGTTTCACCGGGGAACCATGTGTAAACCCTTCTCCGGTTGTGGAGTACTAGTACCCTGTCGGCATCCCCAAGCGAGTTCTACATGTTTTGCGACTCGGGTCAAGAGGCGCATGAAGATATCACGAAATGCAAGGTCTTACTTTCTCTCGGGGGGAGGGATCGGAGCAACAACTGCCCATAACCCGTTTTGGACAGCGACATAAAAGGCGCACTGACCCGCTATGTTCGCCTGCTCTGAACATCAATGACCATTCATAATGCTTTTCCTAGCCAAGCCAGCTCCAAATCACTGACCAATGGGAACATCCTTGAAGTGTGCCATCTAATCATCTTGATCCTGGGACATCCGGGTGTCGGTGGGACCCGCATAGGGATCCACGAGGCTTTACACAGTACAGCAACTGGGCGGCTGTGGCGTAGAACTATACGCAGGAGATTGAACCGTAGGGAAAGGTGATCTCTATCACGGGCTACGAAGGAGAAAGTTGTCTATCAGGAATGAATCGCCATCTTGGCGACTTGAGTTCGAATTTCGTACTACATACATAGTAATAGTTGTATGGGCTTCTAAGCCAATAACAAGTCTAAAAAAAAGTCTAAGGTCTAAGAAGGTCTAAGAAAGTCCAAAAAAAACTCCCAGCAAGTCCCAAAACTCCAGAAAGAAATCTCCAAAAAAGCAATCCAAAATCCTCCAAAAGTCTAAACAAGTCCAAAAACTCCAATGAAACCTCTAAAATCCTCCAAAAAAGCCCCAAAACTTCAAAAAGCTCCAAAGAAAAGTCGTCAAAGCTCCCCCCAAAAGTCCAAAAAGTCGTCAAAAAGCCTCCCGAAAACCTTCGAAAAGAAAACCCTCAAAAGAACCAAGTCGATCCCCTGGGGCGAGACGACTGTAGCATGTCACCGGCCCTGTCACAGTGCCTGATGACAGCAACGCCTAATGACAGCGGTAGTGAAATCAGGACCGGTGGCATGCACACAGTCGCCCATCCCCAACCCAGTCCATCCATCCCCCCTAAAACTCCCAAGCTCCAGTCCCTGGGACTGGGCGACTGCTGCCGGTCCCGATCACTGGGCCTAATGACAGCGTAATATGTGAATCGGGACCGATAGACAGACAGTCACCCAGTCCGAACCTAACTCATCCTCCCCCCAAAGCCCCAAAAAGAACCAGCTGCATCCCACTGTGAGCATGTTACCAACCCGATCACTAAGGCCTGATGACGGCCACGCCTAATGACAGCGGAGTGTGATCGGAGCTGGTAACATGCCCACAGCCCCTTAGTCCCAACTCACAGCCCATCACTCATAAATGATGGGCATGCCGCTGGCTTGGTGCCCATGACGCCTTGTTTCAGCGTCATGGGCGCCAGGTCGGCGGCACTCACACAGGAGAAGGCGGCCTTCTTTTACCACACTAAGACTGCTGTTAGAATACCTGTTCTTTCATACTATAACCTTGGGGTTTATCTTACCCTGTCGGTGGCCGTTTAGGCCCGTGTTCAACATGTAGAAATGGCTTCTCGATACAGCAATCTTGATATGCTTCTCTTGGATGCCAAAATATCCTTCGCTTCGCCAGAAGTGAAGCTTCCCTTAACCATTCGTTTCTTACTTTTTTGGTTTCCCGCTCCTCCCTCTTCGAGTGAAGCCATGCGTTTATTCTCGCGAACATCTTGGATGAGATTGGAAGGTTTGAAGTTTGCGAAAGAAGCTTTAATTGTAGATGTTGGGTTTAAAGCCTAACAGAAATCTGAAGACAGGGGATGTTTGTAGACAATCAAGTGTGCGTAGAAAATCAAATGTGCTTGGTACAGGGAAGAATTCAGAAGGGAGTGAAAAAGACCCAAGGTGACTGGTGTCAGTCATAATAACATCATGGTGGCAGTCATGATAGCATCATTGATGACAATATCCTCAATGCCTTACTGCCTAACCCCCAACCAGCCGCCGGGAATACCAAAGCCATTATATCAACCTCGACGTCAAGTTCAGATACCCCCCTACTGTTAGGGCTACTGGGGCGACGTTGTTGAAGTTATTCGCCGAGATGTAGTAAAAGCGCATGCGCTGGCAACTACCCTAGAGCCCATCGCTCCTTCTGTTTCCTTCCATATAACGGCAGAACCTGCCTCGGCGGACCCTGTAGGGTCTGCTGCCAGTTAGAGGATAGCCAATTGTTGGTTGGCAAGAACGCTGGTACTCCAACCAACCCAACCTTCAAAGACAGCGACCTTCTACCATTGGCATAGTCAGCGATAGACGCGTTCCCGGGGCATGTGTGTCATATCCGACTAACGTCAAGGTCATGTCCGGCTGTCGCTTCGACTGACGGATGCCTCACTGATGTTATCCATATCATTGGCCGTAGCATTGACAACTCGCAGCTTCTCTTTCGGCACGGTAAAGGTGACTTGGACGCGTCGGTTCTCTGCTGCGCCCTCCACATCCCAGTCATCATCATCGAGATCTAGTACACCATCCAACCCGAAGTCATCGCGTGTCATCCTCCCCGTCAACTCACGTGAAACAATATTGCCTGCTCCCCAGTCTTTAGCACCTTGTTTGCGTCGGAATAGTTCCGCCGAGGCACTGACGGATCGCCGAGGCAGCTTGGACTCGGTTTCATAATCGAACAAAGACCTGCGGGTCCAAGCACGGCACTTCTCCTATCGATACCCGAAGCCGTAGATGCAACACTGCCGTCTTCAGATGACTGGGGTCGCTTTCGAGTCATAGAGAGCACTCGTCGGACGTTGCCGATCCACTCAGCCCTCGGTTTTGAGATAGAGAGGGGTCTTGGTATGAGATCAGTTGGGGAGGAGGGTTCAGGGTCGTTTCGTAGTAGATGTTCGCCTTCTGCTTGTCGTTGTGAAATCGTCGTATGGGCAGTTGAAAACGAATCAGAAGACCGGCGTTCATGGGAGATCACAGTACTGTTGGGTCGGCTCCAAGTGTCACGACTCTGATTGGATGCAGAACTCGATTTATCTGGGGATTCACGCCCACTGCTTGGCTGGCTCGGATGGTTGTCCATAATACCGTGAGACTGCGGAGCGGCCGACCTCGATGAGCCCGAAAGGTTTGAAGATGTTCTGTCGTCGTGCTCCGAAGATTGTCTCTCGTTGGTTCGACCGATACTCGTTGCAAAGGCCGTAACTCCCTCAGGAGAAGGCTCTGTACGAGTCGTCTTTGGCAATAAAACGGTGCTGCTGTGATGAACGGCCCTGCAAATAGTGCTATCTCCACCTGCCACACCATGTGCCTCATCTTCTTCATCAATCGGATGCATGTCGCCGGTCCCGTCACTTCGCCTATACTCATTGTTACGTTGCGACGGAGGCTGGTACATTCTTGCATTCAAAGGCAGCCGCTCGTTTTTAATGGGACAAGATGTTTCTCTTAGAAGGCCTGTTCTTTCAGCCATAATCTCGGAAGGTCTGTGAGTACTGCCAGTCAGATGAGACTCTTCTGGACTCCAAAAAATAGAACGTTCTGTGCCTAAGGAGAGTTCGCGGAGCATCTGGTTTCGAGCTCGACGTACTCGCCGTCGCCGGAAGTAGAACCAAAGAAAGACAGCAGCCGCCCCAGCGACAATGGGAATACCTAAGCCGAGTCCGACACCAAGCCCAGCTCTGCGGGATACAGACGATCTGGATTCGCCATCTGATGAAGGCCCTGGGTTTGAGTAGGAGGAAACCCATTTACCCGAAGTAACGTTGTACATCAAAGTTTCTGAGTTAACTTCCGTGCCAGTTATAGAACGTTTCGTTGACTGTGATATATGGTAACCGCCTGTGATCATCATCACTCCACCCGGAAGCATTGTTGCGCCGTGTCCATAGATCCCAGTTCCCTCCGCTACCCCAGCGTCTCTGGTCGGCGGTATTTTCCAGGCCCATTCGGCGGAGCTATAGAGTCAGCTGCCAGTTCGAGGATAGCTAACTGTGGATTGGCAGGAACGCTGGTACTACCAACCCAACCTCCAAAGACAATCACCTTACTTCCATCTGGGGAAAGAACAGCTGTATGGCCGGACCTTGGTTCCACTACCGAGGGATCCCGAATGGCGAGCTCCGTTCGGCTCAGGCTCTGTGTAGAATCAATCGTGACAAAACTCCAGCTGCTCTGCGGAAGTGAAAAGACAGCGACCTGTGACATATTGATAAATGCGTTTTGAGTCTGGCCTCCGATCATCAGAAAATCTTGTTGTTGTAGCAATGTGCCACTCGACGTAGACCTATATGTTGCCTGTAACGGGGTAATCGTAAACCCAGCTTCAGGGATCGGAGGTGCGCGGTCACCGGTCGCTGAGATCCGGCAGGAAGTTAGACTATCGGTTTTGGAGGGCTCCAGCGCTAACATGGACTGTGAGTAGTTGGCGGCAGTAATCCAGGTGGCCTCGGAGGCGCTTGCAAGTGGGCACATTCCACCAAAGACATAGAAAGAACTGTTAGTTGTATTGGTGGAGGCATATGTAAAACCGGCAGCGAGATAATTTGGTCCATGAAGGCTGACATTCGACTGGCCGGTCCCATTTACCTCGATTCTCTCCCATGTCCCATTGCCGGTGGAACTCGCTGCATCCGGGGTGAACTGCCATAACGCACCATACCCCGAAGTATTATGGCAATCTCCCGCATAGACTTTTAAGATGCCGTGTTGGTCGATAGCCGGAATAAGAGCAGGGTTTTGCTTGTAAAGCTGAAATGGAGCATCGTCCAGTAAGGTCGTATATTGGGGGTTGGCGCTGTCAATGTCTTTGGAGATGTTCAATGAGAGGAATTCAGTTGTATTGCTATCGCTGGGCCGCAATAGATATGCAATGGATCCGTTGTACTGCGCTGAGTACAGAAGATGGGACGGGACGTATGGAATTGCAGACACTCGGCAGCCCAGGAACAGGACCACCAGAAACGTGATAAAAGCATTCATTTTGGAGAGTAACAGGAAGAGGTATTAGATAGTGTAGAGCAGCAAGATCGCTGACTTTTGCTGAGGGGTCTTCTCTTGCATAATTAGGCTTGCTTCTTCTTCTTCAGGTGCACTCTGAGACCAACCATAGTGCTTCCAGAAAGACCGTTGGTCGGCGTTTCCTAGATTGACTCGCAGCCGGTGTGTCTGGAAGTTTAGTGAGCCGACATGGAGGGCAAGATGAGACTCTATAATCCAGGGTCAAGTCTGTGAAGAGGACGGATTCTATATTCAAGACGAAGAATTCCGACGTGAAGTCAAAGAAAGAACTGAAGATGATTGGGATCGGTGAGGATAGCATGGTAAACGGCGACATCCCCAACCACCCGATCGCGGCCGAATCTACGGAGTACCCAGGACCAGTACCACCAAGTAGAACCCCGCCACAAGAGTCATTATATTGACTGCGACGTCATGTTCCAGTCGTTCCTCCAGGGCTTACTGGTGCGACGTTGTTGAAGTGATTCGCTGAGGGGTAGTAAAGGCGCACGTAAACACGGGTCGTTGCACTGGCAACTGCGCCGTGGCCCATTTATCGCTCCATTTCAATATAATAAGTTAATAACCACCCTGTCCATTCACCGTTCTAGATCCCGTCGGGGCAACCAATTCCAAGAGAAATGGGTTGCGTAAGTCTTTTGGGCACGCGACGTGTTTGACGGTCATCCGATTATCTTATCGATAAAATTTATGTAACTATGGAGGGATGGAGATCTGGTCTGCAGCAGCCGGTGGATCGAAGATACTATAGTGAGACACGCGCACCCAGCTAATTCTTTAGTAGCGTCTCTATCTGAGATTGAAGTAGATCTAAAGATCTACCAAGACAAATAGCGGTCAGGTTTCCTGGAGTTCAACGGGGAAGCACACGAGGTGTGACCGTTGAGACCTCCATCGGTCGATGATGATCGCTTTTCAGACTTTTGACGGTGGTGACCAAGTGGGGCAAGTCGAGTGTGTACACTGGACACTGGACACTGCACTCCGCTCCCGTACACAGCATTGGTATCCATACTATAGCGGAGCCCGTGAGGAACCGAAACCCTAACTCGGCAGACAGGCTTGAGAAACCGCCAGCCCAATCTCAAAGTATGCTACCTTGTGATGGAGACCGTTATACTATATAAAGGCAATTAATTATTCTTTATAATACTCCTCTACAATGCTAAAATTCTTTTCAAAGGCCTAGTCTTGTTTTATTTTATTCTTTTACGTTCTTGAATCTTCACGATGTATATACCCCTTTCTTTCGTATATATAAGCTAGCTTAGTGTAGGTTATTTAATAAATCAAGATGAATCCTTAATTCAAGGAATCTAAGCTTTACTAGAACCACAGATCACTTGTCTTGTTGAAGGAGGAAAATTCTGAAGGACAATAGATAAAAAGAACCTGACGGCGGTTAAAATACTTCCCATTTATATCTATATACAATTACTTTCTGGCATTCAATCCCTAATCTCCATATCACATCCTTCATTCACATCACATCATGCAATTCGGTACGCCCGGACTGTCGGGCTTTGCTTTGTTTTGATATCATGCGGAGCCAGACTTGATCGTAGGATGAGTCGGGATGGTCTTCGGCAGAGGAGGGAGCAAGTTCTTCGCGCTCTCACGAGCATACTGGGCCATGAGGGCGTCCATGATGACCAGGGCGGACATGGTTTCGACGATGGGAACAGCACGGGGCACGACGCAGGGGTCGTGACGGCCCTTGGCCTCGAGGGTACCCTCTTCGAGACCGTAGGAGGCGGTTGTCTGGGCCTGGCCGATGGTGGCCGGGGGCTTGAAGGCGACGCGGAAATAGATGGAGGCACCGTTGGAGATGCCGCCCTGGATACCACCGGAGTTGTTGGTCTTGGTGGTCAGACGCTGCTTGGTGGTGGTTTCGGTGCCGGTGCGGGTTTCAACGTCCGAGACGACGAAGGGATCGTTGTGGATGGAGCCTGGCACTTCGCAACCGCCGAAGCCCGAGCCGATTTCGAAGCCCTTTGTTGCGGGTATGCTGAGCATGGCGTGCGCAAGCTTGGCTTCGAGCTTGTCGAAACAGGGCTCGCCGAGTCCAACGGGCACGTTGCGGATCACGCACGTTACCGTACCGCCGATGCTGTCTTGGTTGTCGCGGAATTGCTCGATAACTTTGGTCATGCGGGCTGCAGCGTCTTGGTTGGGGCAGCGGGTTGGCACGAAGGAGTCGACGGTTTCGCGGCTGATGTTCTCGACGAGGTTCAGGAACTCGGGGTTGGTGGCGGGAGAGGGGTGCTCAGGGGTGGGAGGGAAGAGGTATTCATTGCCGACAGAGGAGACGAAGGCGACGATCTCAACGCCGTGAGAGAGGCGCAGGTATTTCTCAGCAATGGCTCCGGCGGCGACACGGCCTAGTCTTGTCAGTATTGCTTTCGTTTCTCCTTCCCCAGGCGTGCGGCCCCGCTCTGTGTATACACGGTGACTCACCGATCGTCTCACGAGCACTGCTGCGGCCACCGCCGCTGCTGGCCTTGACGCCATATTTCTCGAGGTAGGTGAAATCGGCATGACTGGGGCGAGGGTACAAGTCCATTGTGCTGCCACCGTAGTCCTTGGGCCTCTGATCCTCGTTGCGGACCATCATGCCAATCGGGGTACCAAGGGTGACGCCGAATTCCGTTCCCGACTGGATTTCCACGCGGTCCTTCTCATTTCTAGGGGTCGTCAAAGCACTCTGGCCGGGACGTCTCCGGGTCATCTGAGGCTGGACATCGGCCTCAGTAAGCTCCATTCCTGGAGGGCAGCCATCAACGATGCAGCCGACGGAGCGGCAATGGGATTCACCGTAGCTGGAAGAGGCGCAACATGTAAGCTTTTAGTTGTCTAGACCTGCAGGCTGTTTGCGGTGAACTCACGTGGTGACCTTGAAGTATTCACCCCAAGTCGACATGATGAACAATCGATTTATTTGGTTTTCTTCTTGAATTCAAAGAAATGTTGGCGGGGTAGTTGGAGCTCGATATGAGGGGCGTTTTCTTTCACGGCACCGAACAGGATGTGTAGAAGTGTTGGTCGAAAGAATTGAGAGGGACGACTAAATTGAAGGTCGATCTAACAATACCCTGCGAGGATCTTCAACAAATAAGAGATCATATAAAACCCACTCAACGATTGATTGCATGATGAAAATAAGGTGAGAAATACGGCATCTTTTTACTTTCCCGACCCGGTTTAGCGTCCGGAGATCGGAGGCCGATCGGCCTGAGTCACTAACACTCTGGAACAAAAGTTCATTGGGCGGTGAGCGGGCACTGCGTACGGTCGATACGACTTTATTTCCATACTCCATACAGTCAGTATACTACTGTCTTTAGTCCCTGATGCTCTTCCGTCTCAATGCGCCCACTCCAACGAGGCTCATGCCTACTATCCTCTCTCCGAACACCAACATGGTCGACTACAGCGCTTCGTCCTGTCTTCGTACGATATAATTCATCTTTGTCCTCCGATCAGTTCGCCCAGCTCGCCAGCCGCGCATCCTCCCAGCACCAGGTCTATCAGTCCCTCTCAACGGACCCATACGTCAACTTATCAATCGAACATTTCCTGCTAGAAAATGCCCCACCAGACTCGAGCATCCTCTTCCTTTACGTAAACCAGCCATGCGTTGTGATCGGACGAAACCAAAACCCGTGGCATGAGACCAACCTCCTCGCCCTCCAGAATGACCGCGAATCAAACACACAAGGGAAGAATGACAACAGCGCACTCCTTGTACGCCGAAGATCAGGCGGAGGCGCCGTCTACCACGATGAGGGCAACCTGAACTACAGCGTGATCTCACCCCGGACAACATTCACCCGAAACAAGCACGCAGAGATGGTAGTGCGGGCACTGCATCGCGTCGGAGCTACGAACACAAGTGTGAACGATCGGCACGACATCGTCATGTCGATCGGGCAGTCACAGCCTCGAAAAATCTCTGGCTCGGCCTTCAAATTGACCAGACACCGCGCACTTCACCATGGAACATGTCTACTGGACACTCCGAATATCCACCGGCTGGGTTCGTTCCTGCGATCGCCAGCTCGGGACTATATCAAAGCCAAGGGTGTGGAGAGTGTTAGGTCTCCCGTGGCGAATGTCTCGTCTGTCTTTGTGGATGCTATGATGCCTTTCTCTATCGAACGCGTCATGGCTAGTATTATTGAGGAGTTCGCCCAGATGTATCAAGTGGATGCCGATGCTGTGCGCCGTGCGCAACGTGCTCATGTCCTTGAACCGGAGTTGTATGCGGGCGATACCTGGGTTGCGGGCGCAGTAGGGGAACCTCAGGGCTACGGAGAGCCTGAGATTAAAAAGGGTATTGAGGAATTGACGGTACGAGTTAAAAACCAAGGTCTACCTATTACTTCCCCAGACTCATTGGCGCTGACCAACATCGTTTAAAATAGTCCTTGGAGTGGAAATACACCCAAACACCACAGTTCACCTTCTCCACGTACCCTATTGAAGACGATCCACGTGAAAGGCCTTCTCTGCCATCCACGTTGCCCCATGCGGTAAAGGAATCCCCCTGGTATAGATTCAAGGTTTTGCTCGCTAACTAGTTCAGACACGTGTGTTCCTCCGCCTAAAACACGGCGCTATCATTGAGAGCCGCATCTCGACCTCTGGAGATGCATCTGTAGCTTTCAAGCAGGCTGCACGCGTGCACGAGGCTTTAAACGGCCGTAAGCTCCACGAGATTACTCCGGCTCAGTGGCGTGAGATTTTGCTGGATCGACTTGGCCCTGATGTAGAGAACAAGACTTTGCTGGAACTTGCTAAGTTTATCGGGAATAAGCTTGGTTGGGACACTAGCTCGTGATGCTCTTATGGTTGTCATATAGATGTATTATAAAAGACAATGTATATTATAGCTGTGCCTACGGGCCCATGTGTACACCATGTATGATTTTTTTATAGAATGTTCCTAGAGTACCCTAGGTGCATACATTACACAGTGACAATCCACATGTCCACAATAATCTCCGGTCACCTGCTACTTAGTAATAAATTCAGCCTATACGAAACTAAAAGAATCAGGATGCAGCGGACAAGTTCAAACACTACGAATTAACTGAAGGTACATCCCGTCCCACATGTCTATCTAGATACCATTGACTTCACTGACCACCGCTCTCCATAACCCGTTTCAACCACTCCGGAATAACAGGTAGTCGTTCCCATTTCTGCCGCCATGCATCCCCATCCCCATGGGCAGGCAAAGCAAAGACAGCAGTCACAAACCAACGCTCAGATCCAGAGCGCAGATCAGCCCCCAAAGAGGGCAACAGAGTGCGGCCATACATGAGGTTCGAGTTAGGATCTGCGAGCACCACCCTCCCAGCCCGATCCACACTAGGCAGTAGCTCTACAATGCCCACAGCCCCAACAGAGGAAACCGTGAGCGCCTTCTGAGATTCCTGCAAAGTCCCCTCGGAGGGCCGGTCCGCTAAGGGGCCCAGAATCCGGCCATTATCGCTCCGACACCCGTAGATAGCGAAAGCGCCTTCGGATGTCATGAGGTCTCGTCCTGTACGAACGCGGTGTGCGCGGATATGCCAGTTCTCGCTTTCTTCGAGCGGCGGTATCAGGTATGTATCTACTTCCACGTCTGACCAAGGCTTCCAGGCGGAGGCTAGCACGGGGATATCATCGTGGTATTCGATGCGGGCGTTTATCGCCACTCGCCGTGTTTGCCAGATGTCTCCCCCGTCATCGGAGAGGGCTAGCATACTGTCTGGGGCGTGCTGTTCCAGTTGGTAAGAGCCTGTCGGGACGGAGTATCCGAATGATGCGCTGTAGGCGAATTTACCATACTTTGCCTGGGTTGCCTTTAAAGGGTAGTGGCAGGCTTGTCCGGAGGAAAGCAGGAATGAATGTCCGCCACGGTGGACTACGATGTGCTTGGGATACTGCAGCGCTGCAACGGGTGAGAGGGAGACGATTGGGTATGATTCCTCCTTGGCTGCCCAGAATGGGTGCGTTTCTCCCAGTACCAGAGGGACAAATGAAAGACAACACCAGTAGGGTGAGCCGGGAGAGTTGTAGTTCTCTGTCAGGTACATGTTTGCGTATGAATATCCGAGATTCAGCGTTCCGTCACTGTTGAACATGTCCTCTTGGGTTGCCCACCAGCGGAAATGTCTCAAGAGAAGGCCCTTAACAACACCCCAGGTGAGTGGTGCCGGGGGCGCGACGTCTGCAAAAGCAAGGGCTCCCCAAAATCCAGCCATGGCGAATCGATATGTCATGGACCTTCCGAAGGGGATGGCGGCTCCTGTTAGAAAAGGGCGCACGGTCAGTACTAATTGCGGGCTGTTGAGTTCAGTGAGCAAACCAACCATCGGCATCAAAATAGTACACGAAATCGAGGGCAAATTGTCTCGCCCGTTCTCGATACCGTTCAGCCCGTAGCGGGTCGAAATCGGCTGCCAGTCTCGAATAAAGTAGTTGCAAGAACTGGATTGCAAACGAGCCGGAGTAGTAGTCCATCTGATGGTGACTCTTCGGACCGTCATTGCTCCATCCTCCTCCAACATGGAAGGTATCCAAATGGTCCATATCAGCTTCGATACGGGGGAGCGAATAAGGCGCTCCGTTTCTCCTCAGACCCAAGTTGGCAAAGACCCGGAACCACAACCTGAATGCGTTCTGTGGTGAGCCTCCTGAGACCACTATCTATGTAACCTTGCGTTGTGTGGGGTCATACCAGTTCGTATTGGGCATCTCACGCTCATTAATACTAGCCAACCAATTCGCAACATTGTGCTTCTGCTGGATCGTCAAAGGATCCCAGAATACATGCGGAGCGACCGCCAACGCAAACCCGAGGGGACACATTTCCACCATGCGCTGGTCGAGATCCTCTATATCTCCCCAGTACTCTGGACTTTGGGGATCTGTCCCGTTGATGAGTCCCTGGTACCAATGCACTGCATCTGGGTATTGATATCCGCCTCCCAATAGAGCAGCTAAACCCCACAGGGGACGCGCGAAGCCCTCAATCTGGGCGCCACCTTCGTCAAAGCGAGTCGTCGACGAACCAATCTTCACTCGACTGCATCCCGGTGTGAAGCGCGGAACGAGGGGATCCAGGAGTGCCCGGCATGCGTCTTGAAAATCGCGGCGGGTTCGAAAAGGTGACCGGCTGAAGGCCTGGACGGGGGTCTTCCCGTTGGCATGTACTGACATTATGTGTTACGCTGCTGAATGGCGCTTTGGTCCTATATGCCATACAAGCATATCATCGACTGGCCTGGCCTAGTTCCAACAAGGCGGTATATATTCAATCTGCTGAAACCGACAACGGGTAAGATCGGGGTTCTTTCCGATATTGTCTCCAACGAGATGATCATCTATATGAGGGATAGTTGAATGTCGACGCAAATCCGTTTCGGTTATTGGTGGATTAAAGTGACCGAAGGCGATTTAGCCGGAAGTTAAAGGATAATAAGAATCGAAACTTATCCGATTTAGTGTCTAGACCCTAATTGACTCGGGAATGCCGAATGACGAGAACATCATCAATCAAGAAGTATCAATGCATTTCATAGTGGTACAGTTGGATGAGCGGAGATATAACATTGGTTGCAGCTTATTGGTCCTGCCAGAAACAAAACTCTACTCTTCCTGCTCGCCATTGGGGGTTGCAGCTTCCAAAGGCGTCGACAGTCCCACCCGATCAACGGTGCGCGTGTAAGCAACTCCTCCATTTACGCGATCCTCATGAACGACAAGATCCTTACGATTGGTATCGACGAGAAGGCGAATGAGGTCAGGGCGCATGTAATGTCCTCCCTGAAACAGTGTCAGCATGACAGAAGCTTTGGGTATCAGCAGGGGCCTTACGAAATCCGCCAGGGACTTAGAGAGATGGCACTCATCCAGGTCGATCTAGTGTTCTGGTTAGCATCTTCTACCCTGCGACTGAAGTGATCAAATTGAAGCACTCACATCAACAATCAGCAGACCCTGGAAGTCCTTGTCAGGATGAGGAACAAGATTCTGTCCATCGGGGCCAAAGATACGGCCATGACCATTGTAGATGTGGGGATCTTCCAGCTCCTTTCCAGGGGGCGTGTTCAGCTTGATACCCTCGGCGGTGATGCTTTGCCAGGGTGCCAGAGTGAAGGTACCCGTCTCAATAGCATAGGCTGGAGTAACGAGCTGCACAGACTTCCATTAGACCCCAGAGCGAGCGAGTGAGATAGACAGGGATACCATGAATCGATCAGGCAGTGTATGACTTACGTCGGCATTGGCTTCAGCCACGTTGGTGAAGGGGTCGGGATACTTCAGCGTCTCCTTTCCAGGATACAGTGGCCAAGCAGCAACGTGGACCTGCTCGCCAAGAGAGGCTGCATACGCCTTCATAAATGGGTTCATATTTTCCCAGCAGTTCAAGTGTCCCACACGACCGATCTCGGTCTGGATAACAGACTCGGTGGTATCACCCGTACCATCTCCAAAAACCAGACGCTCGACGTGAGTAGCACGGATCTTGCGACGGTGATTGAGAACATCACCGGTAGGAGAGATAAGGACTTGAGTGGTGTAGAGACTGGCCAGATCCAGTTCTGAATAACCCAGAGAGACAAAGATCTTGTTGGCTCGGGCTGCCTCACGGATCCGACGCATTTCCTCAGAGTCCGAGGGCAGACTGTTCTCGCGATACTTCTTGAGCAGTGGCAGACTCTCCTGGTAGTTCACCTTCCAAGCCCAGTATGGGTAGCCCGGGATCCCTGTGATAGTGGTCAGATCATAATAAAGTTACAGGTATTATGACAATGGCATAATACATACAGAGCTCGGGGAAAGCAATGAACTTGCAACCAGCCTTTCCAGCTTCGTTGATCCAGTGAATAGTTCGCTTGACGGACTCTTCGAGGTCGAACCATCCTGGCTCAGCATTGACTGCTGCGGCCTTGTACTTCTTCAAAACGGGTGCCATTGTGGGATAAGAAGTATCGATTTCACGTTGCAAAAGAAGTAATGTAAGATACAGTGAGCTTTGCCGTTGCTGCTGTGGAGGATGATAGATGAAGAACTTGAAGACAGTTAGCACACCTCCCTTTTATATCTGCAATTGCTTACTGATATTCAATTCCCAGCTTTCGCATCACGTCCTTCACATCACATCATGCAATCCGGTACGCCCGGCTGTCGGGTTTTGCTTTGTCCACGATCTAGCATCTCTGAGGTATCCTACTGCTACTTCCCAGCCCTTCCGAAAATCTTACCACAGAGGAGCCTCATGGCGATTTTCTTTCGGGATCTGCTCATACAAGAGGAGAAGTTCCACAAAGCGCTCAGACCTAGTCACTCTGTCAGCCATATCCCATCCATTCGCAAGGGCAACTTACCTAACAGTGGAAACCCTGTGCTCTGACTAATGTTTCACGATGCCCCTCAAGTTCAAATCCCGCCCCAGCGCAGAGTGCAACATGGCCTGACTCGGGTCTTTAATACGGCGTTTCACAAATGATAATCTTTTTGGGATACTACTACTATTCTCAACCAATCTTGTGTTGGCAAAATCTTGGGTTGGACATCCGTCGGGACTGCGCGTCGATCACCGTTGTTCCGAAGCAGAGCCCGTGGGGAACCAAAGCCCTAACTCGGCCGACACACTTGAGTAACCGCCCTGTCGGGATTCTCTAGATTATTTGTCCCGGTCCCAATTTACACCTCATGCCCTGCTAGTTTGTCCATGTATGCTGCATTTAATTGAGGTATCTTCGACATGGGGACTTCGGCACAGCTAACCCGTATGAAAATGTCCCAGGTTTGTTGACAGCACTGTGGACAAACCTCTGATGGGAAGAACATGGGTCGGCCATAGGATTACATGGCATTCGGTTGCAGCAGCCAATCTAGAGGCTCATACTGGATATAACGCTTATTTGACCCTACTACTAGAACGTGCGTTGGGTTATTAGAATGACTACATCGGTAGTGATCACTACTATGGACTAAGATACTTGGGCGTCTAGAACGTATGAAGTTGACATATCACTGTCTAATCAATAGACTTGGTGTCCTTGCGAATTCTAATTCGAGGATTATCCAACAGCCAATGAGCTACACAGTAGATGATATTTGTTGAGCAAGAGGCTGAAGTATTGTTGGATGCGTTGAGATGTCGAATACAACATGATGGTTGGGGATTTCCTCAACTCCTAAGCCTTTCAGCGGGGTGTTGAAGTGGTAATATAAAGATCATGTTCACTTAATATTGGAATCTACTCTTTCGCGGTTCGACATAATATATATATATTTATTTATTTAACACTGTTTTCGTATTTCTCAAATCCCGTGCTGTATCCGTGGTAGGTCCATTCACATTGTACTTGCCCAGATACCTTTGATGATAAGGGATTTATAGCAGAGCGCCGCTATTATATATACTAGTATATTTTTAATATACCAGCTTCAAGCTACCCTTCCCCCCGATATAAAGTAACTCTATAATATATCGAGTTATCAATTAAAGATTTGGAAATAAATCTTTCTCTAAATTAAACTAAACAGTAGCCGAATCCGATCTACTATATTGGATAGTTATACTACGGCCGTTATTGCTATGATTATTATACACTATTAACATGTTTGATTCAACCCACCAATGCCAGTCTTTTTTTTTTTTTCCTTCCTTTTTTTTCCCCCATCAAATTCTGGCTAAATGATCAACAGCATCACTGTCCCCCGCAAAACAATTGTTTTTGCGTTTCCCCGCAAACCTTCTCTCAGCTCCGTCGTCTTGGCTATCCAGCATCCTTCACACTAACAAAGCCCCCCTATTCGTCCCAACAATAGCATGGATGTGTGAGTCTATATGACCTTCGCTTATTCGTGGTACTAACCAACCTTATGGCTCTCCATCTTCGTGTTGCGTCCCACGTTTCTTGGGGACACCCAACGACAGCCAGCTCAGGAATGCCGAGGGCTCTTTAATATCACCCGTGCTTAGGTCTCAACGCCCAGACGGAAACAGGTGTCCTTCCCCTCCTTATCTCCATGGCTAGGTCCTTCTAACTGGTTCAAGGATCAGCGCTCATGGAAGGTAACCGTAACAGCGAGTCTTTCGACGCTCTCTTGGGATTCGTGGAATCATTTGACCATCTTGGCCGTCTTGTTTTTCCGTGGTAGATGTCATCACCCTATATTGGGGTAACAGGGTTATGTACTTCGTGTGATAATAGCACCGTACGAGCTTCAGCTCTTTCTTCCATATATTAGTTTGCTTTATTCCGGCGCTGATCTCTTTATGAATCTATTACTTCATTGTCTTATTTATATGAGCCAGGATTGCGATCATCGTTGTTTCAGCCCTTGAAACGACGTGTCGGGCCACTTTTCGGTGACCGATCTGCTATTTCAACAGCAAAGACCTCTGAGACTGGCTTGATCCACTTTGACAAGATGTCAGTCATACTCAGAAGACTCGTCCACAATGAGGCGATGCGCGAGGACCCTAAAGAAATTTATGGATGGAGAGTGTACATGCTCGCCTGTTCGGTTAGTCTTCCTCAACCTTCCGTGACAATAGAGACTAAGAATCTACAGGCTTGCTGCGGCGGCATGCTGTTCGGAATGGAGACCGGTATCATAGGAGGTGTCCTTACGATGGACCCTTTCCAAGTGTAAGTCGCTTTCTTATCTGTGAATACCTACTGCACACGCCAACCGCTGACCTCAAATGTATAGAAAATACGGATTAAAGAACCTTGGAGATGTAGGAGAGGCCAATCTCTCCGCTAATATTGTATCCACACTACAGGCAGGGTGTTTCTTTGGCGCCCTCATCGCCTCCCCAGTAGCAGACAAATGGGGCCGAAAGATAGGGTTAATAGCCGCGTCGCTAATTGCTATCGTTGGCGTTATTATGCAAGTTGCAGCAAGCGGACACCTGGAAGCCATGTACATCGGACGGTGAGCATCGCTCCTCATACTTCTCCTTTTGAACTCTTAGGGTTAACAGAACTCAATTCAGTCTAATCAACGGTTTCGGCGTCGGCTTTGCCTCAATGATAAATCCTCTCTATGTCTCCGAAAACGCCCCTAGAGCCATTCGCGGTGGTCTAACAGGCCTCTACCAACTGTTCATCACAATGGGAATTATGCTCGCCTTCTGGATCAACTACGGCTCTACCCTTCACATCAAGGGCACGGCGCAATACATGGTTCCACTTGCCATGCAGGCCCTCCCCGCCCTTCTTCTGCTTGGGGGTATGCTCCTATGCAACGAATCCCCCCGCTGGCTCGCAAAGCAAGACCGCTGGGAAGACGCTCGAAAGACTCTCTCCCGCGTGCGCAACCTCCCCCCAACACATCAGTACGTCGAGAACGAGTTCCAAGATATCGTCAACCAACTCGAGCACGAGCGCCAACTCATCGGTGGCTCCGGCTTCTGGGACCTTATGAGAGAGATGTGGCTCATCCCAGGCAACCGAAAACGAGTAATGATCAGCATCTTTCTCATGGTCTGTCAGCAAATGACTGGCACGAACGCCATTAACTACTATGCACCACAGATCTTCAAAAATCTGGGCATCACCGGCAGCACGACAGGCCTATTCGCCACAGGAGTGTACGGAATCGTAAAGATGGTGGCATGTGCCGTCTTCCTAGTCTTCGTTGCTGATTCTCTGGGCCGTCGACGTTCTCTCCTCTGGACCTCTGTCGCTCAGGGTCTAGCAATGCTCTACATTGGGTTATACGTCCGTATCGCGCCCCCGGTGGAAGGCCAGCCCGTCATCCCCGCCGGCTATGTCGCTCTCGTCTGTATTTTCCTCTTTGCTGCAACCTTTCAGTTCGGCTGGGGTCCCGTCTGCTGGATCTATGTCTCTGAGATTCCAACTGCCCGACTGAGAAGTTTGAACGTCGCCTTCGCTGCCGCGACTCAGTGGCTGTTCAACTTTGTCGTTTCTCGAGCTGTTCCCAATATGCTGGCGACCGTTGGTGCTAATGGTTACGGGTTAGTTTTCATTTCCATTCCGTATTCACATTTTCTCAGCTTCTCATGTATATGATGAATTCATTCTGGACTCTAACACCGGCTAACAAAAAAAATGTGAATAGGACATACATCATTTTCGCCTGTTTCTGTTTCTCGATGGGCGTCTGGGTTTGGTTCTTTATTCCCGATACCAAAGGTATACCTTGCAACTCTCTTGCACATCCTGTTGACAATGATTCCTTACGGGGACTGACTTTCTCTTTGATAGGCCTCTCACTGGAGAAAATGGATGAGCTTTTCGGTGCCACTAGTAGTGCTACTCATCTGAAGACTGAAGATGTAGAGAGGAGTGCGTCCCAGGTGGAGGGTGACCACAAAGATGAGGCTGCTACAGAGACTAGGGTGGAAAGGGTGTAATGTTGTCGACCTTCTTTCTTTCTCTTCCCCGGCCTTGCGAATTGCTTGGTGGTCCGTTTTGAATATGGACATAGTTTGCATAGGTCAATTGGATGTCTATTCATCAAATCATATTAGACTTGGTAATATTCTGTCCAATGACAGCCTCGCTGTATACATGATAATCAAAATTCTAACACAGTAATGACCGTGTGTGCAGTCAACATATTTGAGACCGGTAAGTCGCTGCATGAGGCGGGACCGCTTGTCCTGTGTCCGGTTTTTGCTTGCGGCACCGACGCCAAAACAGAGTCCCAGACCTGCTCGTTGTGATGCAGGCCCTTTAGGTCCGAAGGCAGTAACATCTATGGTTCTTCCCATCTACAGGCGAGCAGCCCAAGAGATACTGTGCCTAACCTCAGCACGCTTAATGTCGGTGTGGTGCAATGAGGGCTGGTGGTATTCACACAAAAGCAACCGGCTGTCCTTAATCACACTAAAAGTTCTCTTTGAATGCTTGTTCTATTCTGCCACAACCTTGGGATTTATCTTACCAAACCGGTGGCCGTTTAGACCAGTCTTTCCTGTATGGGCTTTTCCACGCAGCAATGTTGGTTGGCATCTTTGGGATTTATCTTACCATCTCCGTGGCCGTTTGGGCCAGTCTTCCGGTGTGGGATGTTCCACACAGCTGCATTTGATTGACATCCTTTGGATGCCAAAAGACTCTTCACTTCGTCAGAAGCGAAGCTTCGTGTGACGATGACACGCCCAGTGATTGGGGTATTGTGAGTACGCCAAGTGCTCTGATAACCGAATCATGGGCCCTGGATCACGCAGCGATTTCGTGAGCCATCCAGCTGAAGGTTCTTATCAAGGGCCGGTAGTATGTCCACAGTCACCCAGTCCCAAACTCCATGAGACAGTTGTTATAGTGAGTTGAAGGAATTGTACGGAGGGGTAAAAGGTCTGGAAGGGTTGATTGTGCTGTTGCTAGGCCATGTGCCTGCCTATCTAGGCCTTCAGGCACCTACAGTTGTTGCTCCTTCTTAAGAAAGGTCGACCTGTTGGGGTTCAACACTGCGGACCAGGATACCTGCCTAATCTTATGTGTTGTCTTGTTAATACCAATGGCAAGGTAATTGTAGGGTTCATGTTAAGCCGAGCGAGCTCCTTATAATCAGTCACTCAGCGTTTATCTACTCTATCGCGTGGACTCCTAACTACTACATAAACGAATCGCCGGTTCCTTGAACCAATCGGGAAACCCCTGAATGCTTCCAAGTTCGAGGCGTCGAACCTATTCACGATACCGGCCAGCCAAGCAAATCACATTATAATAAGGAGTAATATAAGATACAATAAGCTTTGGTACTGGTCCTATGGAGAATAATGGATAACAAAAAATATTCAAAGACTGTCAAAACGCTTCCTATTTATACCTATGTACAATCGCTTGCTAATATTCAATCCTTAACCTTCACATCACATCATGCAATTGAGTACGCCCGGCTGTCGGGTTTTACTTTGTTCTGAGGTTCCCACGCCCAGGGAAGCGCCGCAGCTTCTGAGTTTGACTCCTTGTCATTCGCCGGGAAGGCTCGTCGTCAAGGCTGAGACCGCCGATGCCAGGTCCAAGTTCGGATCGTTTTGGTGAAAAGAAGGCGTCACTGCCGCTTCGTCCATAGCGAATATTCCGAATTGTAGCATTAGTGGCCGTAGTAGCTGTCGTCACTGTAGTTTCGGTGTCGGAGTCACGATCCAGCGGGTCCGACACATCGGATTCATCGCCCTTCAAGCTCTTCAAACTGAAACTATAATCCTGATGGCCGCCGTCATATGACGGAAAAGGATGATGGCGCCGAGCTCGGGCGTCTGAGCTGAAAAGCTAGATCCGGTCACAGTCGAGGAGAAAGAAAGAGGCGGCACAGATGGCTGCCTGGTAAACGACTGAAGTTCCTGACCGCTGCTATTCTCGAGCCTAGGAGACGTGGCTGGGGGGGCCGGCAGGTGGTGGCTGGGTTTGGTTCGCTTGCGGCACTTGCCCACCGCTGATGGCCGACGAGAAACGATAGAGAGAGAGTAACCCCAAAGCCTCTTGAACTGTCATGAATATCAAAAGGAGCTTTCCGTATCTGTCGAAATAGTGTCGTTCGTAAGAAACCTGCGGTAGATTTCCCCCAAGATGAACTGCTGCCACGAGCTCTGCAAAATAAACAAGGATTTCCATGCCGTTCCACTGAGCGAGAGGTTGTTTCAGGGCTTCCAGTAGCGCGAATCCGGCGATAAGGCTCGCACTACCCAAGGAAGCCACTTCAATAAAATCACCGGGTAGAGAAATATGGCCATACTGTGATACGAGCCAGGCAGCGATAGAGGACAGAAGCAATCCCAGTCGGAGATACTGAAAGATAAAATAACTATGCAAGTCGACAGATTGATGGGGACCAGTACTTGTCGTCTGCTGTTGCGATTGCCATGCGCCGTGATCCTCGTCCTCAGGCGATTTGATGGTGAAAGCTTTATCAAACAGACTCTCTAGCCCGGTTGAGGCAGCATGATCACTCATAGGGAAGAACTTCGGAGGAGCAAATGTAGTGTCCAAGGGGCCATTGTTCCGCGCCCAGGGGCTCGAGGATTGGGCTGGAGAACGGTGGAACGGATTGCGCTCAACAACCTGTTCGATGGGTTTCTGGCGCTGAGCAGGCTGGTTACGCAGGTTCCATGACGGAGGTTTAGGAGCGGCGGGTAGAGATCCGTAGAATGGTAAAGGTCCATCGAGAACAGATTTCTGCTCTCTCTGGTGCACACTCACAGTAGGTGTAACACTATGCTGTACAGAAGGCGTCCAATCCATATCGTCTCCTTCCGGGGGAGGGGTAGGAAAAGTTGGCTCCTCGGTAACAGGCCGAGGAGTCGCTAGCTTTTCGAGAGGAAAGCGTGGTGTGCCCTGTTGCAGCCTTTCGCTCGGGCTTGTGAAAAGCTGTTTGCTTTCACTGGTATAAACGGGAGACTCGCCACGTCTACGAGCCGGGGTTGCTGCCGGGGTATTGTCGGTCCAATTTACCAAAGGGCGAGTGTCATACTGCGCAATGCGCCGAGAGAATAGAACAGACTAGACTATCGTGAGTTTGACGCCGCTCAATATCCATAGTTAGCAAGCAAGCGAGACATACCAAAGCAATGAAAATGAACATAAACGTGTGCAAGGTCGGTGGAAGTTGCGATTGTAAACCACTTGACAAAGGGTCTCTAAGCAAAGCCCAAAAGACACATCGCACCACCATGACAATGAGTTGAACTTGGTAGTATTCTCCTAGACCGACGAAGCGGCCAGCCCTCCCTTCAACCTTGAAGCGCAGTTTCGGGTTATACCAGGCAGAAAGTATGCCTGCTACTAGAGACAGGCCAGCATAAGGTGCCAGATCAACGAAACAATAACTTGGCATGCGGCGTGTCTCTAACGTTTGCTGGGCACACGCTACGATGGATGCTGGCGTAAGGAGATCATCCGGGTCCCGTAGTAATTCATCAGTAGCTAAAGCACCCACTAGATTCCAGGAGAGTTGGCCAATAACACTAGCCCAGTAAGTGATGGCGCCAGCATAAAGCAACAAGCTCCTCCAATTCCATTTGCGCGCATGCCTTGCTGCTCTTCCCGCTTTGCTGCGATCCATCATACGTCTCAGGTGGTCTGATTTTGCCTCGTATCCTGCCTGTCGGATGCGGTCCTTCACCCTGGGCTCACATTTGGCACATACTTGCGGATACCGTTCTTCAAGGTTCTTGCGAAACTTTGGGTATTCTTGTTCGTATGCGCCATAGTTTGGATCGTCTGTTGGTGGGAAATATGCGGCGAGAGCACTCGTGAAAAGATGCTGATTTCGGATACATTGCGCGCAGAATAGACCGGATCCTGTAATATCAGTCGACTCGAAAGGGGCACTCGATACATCCGATCCGTATGCATTAGGATTTGTATCTGCTGCTGGGGGGTCCGCGATTTGTCCTTTCTATCATAGTTGCCGAGATGATTAGCACGTCTTTTAGAAACACAAAAAGGAAAAGAAAAGAAAAAGACCTACTTCATCCAGGTAATTTATTGCCTCACAAGCGTTACAGCGCCATTTACGGATAGGACCTTTTCCAGTCTGTGCAGACCGTCTCCCGCAATAGAAGCAAGTTATTCGCTTTGCGAAGAGAGGTGCCATCTCATGTCCGAAATGTTGACATTGATAGCGGGAAGGTTGTTGATGGAGCAACAACCTCCCATCTAAGGATGGGCAGGAGTTAAGACAAAATAATCGCCGAATCGCACGGACCACGTGCCCGATCATCACCCATCGGTCGAGGGACAAACAATTAAATATTTCTACACAAGTGCCGACTTTTGGTTCATTTGATGGCACATGCCGTTACTAGCCTCGTCTTGATTGTTAACTTAAACAATAGAGAGCGCTAACAACAACGCTTATCAATTGGCTGTGCTATACCACTGCTGAAGATCATTCTTACTTATCTGTCAACAAATGTTACTGATGACGCTTACAGCTGCAAACTAACATACGCTGGGGTTCTTTGATCGCATTCCTGGGTCCATTGCTAGCTTTCAACCTCTGAGATGATGTTCCTGACTCAGTCGCCCCTGAGAAGTCTACTTTGGCCTTTCACCATAGGATGTGTGGTTGGTGTATCAGCATTCATTGTAAGCGTCTGGTGTTGACATACATCTAATCATCCCTCTTTATTCGTGACTAATCATCATAACTGTCCTTACAGATCTTCATCTATGCCCTACACACATCACAAAATACTAACATTCCTAAATGGCGCTCAAAACACACTCCCACCCATCTTCTGGTCGTCTTGGGCAGCGGCGGGCACACAGCCGAAATGTTCTCCATGTTACGACGGATAAAGCTCGATCCATCCCAGTACACATATCGCACATACGTTGTGAGCTCGGGGGATAACTTCAGCGCCACGAAGGCGGTAGAGTTCGAGACTCGATATGTCAATACCGTCCAGAAAGCAACTGCGACCGACCGTAGCCCAGCAGAATCTTACACTATTGTGACAGTGCCGCGCGCACGTCGCGTACACCAGTCATTTCTGACGGCACCTTTTTCAACCCTCAGATCTTTCTGGGCATGTCTTCTTGTCTTGCGTGGACAATATGGTGACCAAGAGCGGCCTCCTTCGTCAATGGTTTCGCCGTATCCGGATGTGATTCTTACGAATGGTCCTGCTACGGCGGTTTGCGTTATACTAGCTGCCAGGCTCCTCCGTCTCTATAATTTCATCAGAGGCTTCGTTCCGTTCAAAAAGGCTTTTGGAGGTGAGAATTTGGCGCCGACTGATCACCAACTCCGTACGATTTTTATAGAATCATGGGCCCGTGTGACAACTTTGAGTCTATCGGGTAAGATACTGTTACCTTTTTCTGACCGTTTCCTCGTTCAATGGCCTAGACTAGCAGGGATAGGAGCGTGGAAAGGCATGAGAAAGACGGAATACGTGGGCATGCTTGTGGATTGAATATGGCCCAGGTTATCCCGATGTCAACATTAATATCTCCTTAGTGTATTTACATGTGCAAGTACCACGAAAGCCATCTGTGAATGAAGTTTGAGAAGACCAGTTTGCTCCTGTAGCACTGACACGGAAACAAGAGTCCATTGGCGAGGCGATCGTTTTATTTGTCCTTTCGATATTGTGACGGACTAAATCGGTTCAGGACTCAAACTCGGCCCTAAGAATGTCTAGTCATGAGCAAACGCCCCCCCTCCAATTTGGCCATAGAAAGTTTTCAAAGATCCAGTTTCTACTGAGGGTTAAGGGTATGCCGCAAAAACAAACTTAAACAGCGTTGGCGTCAAAACAGGGCTGGCATTAACAATTATACTGGTAGCTTAACTTCAGTTATACAAGTCAGTTGTACAGTCAGAACCGCACTTTTCCTTCCCATTTGTGTCCTCATTGCAAAGGGTTGTAGAATGGAGTATAGTCCAAGCCGTTCGAGGAAAATGTTCGATCACCAATCATCCGCGCCTTGAGAGCGGCGCGAAGGGCGTCCGCATTCTGTTCGCCCTCGACTTTCATTTGGTTGATGCGGAGAAGTTTACCATCTTGTGTAAATACGTAGACACATTTTCCTAGTCGAGAATCAATGGGATGAGCGCCGTCCACAAAGGGTAGGCCTGGGACCACAGCATATGCTTCGATCCCTTTCATCGGTTCAACTTCCTCCATCTCGGTGAAAATCACCCGTCGGTATTGAAAGGAAGAAGGGTCAGCTGCAGCATCATTGATTACTAAAGCCTTGCTCCATAAAGGCCCCAATACACGAATCCGCCTGCTGATATCTAACCAGGTCCAATTTGTCCAGTCGATGTGGCGGTCATCAGGCTTGATTTTAGCTGCATGTATCAAGGATTCATGTTCTTCTGGCGAATTCCAGCCGGCATCCCGTACTGGAGGAACAAACAGGCCTTTTCGGATACCGTCGACAAGAATCTCAGCCCCTTTAGGAGCAACAAGGTTTAAGAGCTCTGGTACGGTACATGACTCGGACCTTGGGATCTCAAATCCAGGTGGCGGGGTCTGCCGTAGAATGACGCCGTGGTCGAAATGCTTGAGATCTAAGGTCTGCAAAGTGACCCCAGTCCTAGTTCTACCAGCCAAAAGAGTGTGATGGAGCGGAGCGGGACCACGGAAGCTGTTGTTTACCAATTAATCACCTGTGTGACGCCCTCGATCGTTTACTTATACTCACTCGGGAAGCAAAGAAGGGTGAACATTTAGCCCCCCATACTTTGCGCCATGGAGAATCCGTGGAGGCACGAACAAACCGAAGGATACAGCTACTATAAGGTTGATGGGCCCCCCAGGTAGTACAGGTGGCTAACAGAGTCAGTAACATTTCAGGGTCCCGAGGTTGTCTCTATAATACCGTCCATCCTCTGAATGTATCTATCTCATGAACCGGGAGCGAAAGGTCTGCTGCCGCAGCTTTGATGGGGACTATTAAAGGAAACGTAAGTCTAGTTCGTTATCTTTTCAACTTGTGAAAGTAGATACCCTCGCGTATTTTTTTCAGGCCTCTTCCAACTCTTTTACCCGGTCTGCAAACGACATCAATGGAGGATATCCGATCTGGTCGATCCAGATGTTCCTTATGGAGAGCATTCAAGGAAGCTATGCTGAACTCATCGGAGCCGCAAAAGAGTATTCGGAGGGGTTCGTAGGACCTTGTCGCAAATAATCGATGTGCGAAATATCGGCTAGTTCCAGCACGTCTGTATATACAGAGCGCCCCGGGCCCCGCGGAAGAAACATGGCGTGGGAGCTGCCAAAACATAGCTACTCTTGCCGGCTAAGACTAAAGCTCCGGAAAGCTCCCCGAACAGTCGAAAACACTAGCACGTGATGTCACCGCATTCACGTCTCAAGTCGATCAGCATATATACTCCCCCATCTTTGACTACTGCACCAGCGGCCTGTGAGTTACGGTTCACGATATAATGATGCGATGTCAGGGAGCGATCTTGCTTCGGTAGTGCCGGCACAGCTAGCATATCTCACTATATACAACCCCCTCCTTGGACCGACCGACGAAACAATACAGGATCAAGTCGTCTTTTACACTTCTAGATCGGATCGTCTGCAACGGAGCGGAAGTTCTACGACCGAAAATGAGAACAAAGAAACCAATGATGGGTGGAATGTGAGACTGCGCCAGATAGGACTGGCGCAGGGTATGGTGAGCTTCGCCAGGTGGGGACCGCTGCTTCGACACCCAGCAGAACTATGCTAAATAATCGATATAGGAACTTTTCAAAAGGACAGGCAGTCGACTACGTGGAGACAGACAAGTCGCTCATTGTGGTACATGAGCTCGAAAAGAATTGGTGGATCTTAGCTGTAAGCATGGCCTTGAACATGCCATGACATTAGATGCTGAGATCGCTATAGTCAATTGACCTGACGCGGCTTCCAACTCACTCTTCCAATGGACCTTCCTCGCAGCGCGATGCTTCAGAGGCTTCCTCTTCTCGTTACTCTTCACGGGAGATGTGTCCTTCCCATCATCTGATTCAGCAACTACGCCGAGCGCATTCCATTTTCCTTCTTCATCATGACATCACACTTGACGCTTTATACGAACGTGTTGGCAGAGCCACACTCTGCCCCCTCCTAGAAAACTTCTGGTTGCGATTTGCCTGGAACTGGGATATCCTTCTAAGTGGGAACCCCGCTGTGGATGTGTATAATGGCATTAAGCTTTCTGCTGGCGGCGAGCTAGGCATTGGTGTCGGCGAGGAAGAATGGGGAAGCGGGGAGAGGGAGGTGCTTGAGGACTTCGTGATACAGACAGATGGTCTTGTGGATATCGTAGTGTCTCGATTTGGTGACCCGAATACGCCTGATGAGAGTACTACAACCGCGAACAAATCAGCAGATGGCATGCGCAATGATGACGATGAAACGCACTGGCTTGGTTTAGACACATATCCTCGACCGTCAGATGGTGTTATATTCTCAGGTGTAGGGGCTATCTCTAGGTCTTCTGTGGTGCGCATCTCACAGTGGATGGAGTGGATCTACAGATACGGCATTGACGCATATGGGGTAGGTGAAGACCCAACATCACCACGACGCCGAAAACATCGTAGGAGACAACGAGGCCGCTCTGGAAAAGATACAAATTCAGTACTACAAGCCAGAGAAAATCCCCAATCTAGAGACACAGATGACAGTTTCTCTCCAGGTATACCACGCCCACTTGTCATGGGGACGACAAAATCAATGCAGCCTCCACAAGGGTCTGATGGGGTAAGCCTACTCTCAAGCGGCGAAAGCTCCCCTGCAAGAAGTGAGAAAGGCAGTGATTGGGTGGGTACGACCACTGGTGCATTTGTGAAATACCTCACGCTCGGATACGGTTCGTCTTGGAGCATGTCTCGGACTCCCAGCGCACATCCCCGCGTTGAAGCGTTGAAGCGAGAAGATGACTTAGCCAGCTCAAACAAGCAGACAGGCCCACCTACAGATGAGCAGGAAGGCTCTGAAGAAAGCCCTTCTAAACCTGAAGACCCTCCTGTCAAAACTAGAAGCCGTGGTAAGTTTCTCATTGGTTTAAAAAATGAGACAGCGAAGGGAGATAGTCAAATTCTGGAGACTAGTCCAACAAACAAGAAATCGAAGGATAGAATAAGCCAGAGGACTTTACATATGTACTTGGCAAACCCATCAGAAGATAATCCCTCAGGTCGGTATTACACTTCTTCAATCTTCTTGACCTCAATGCTAAAACCGATTGGCCTCTAGGCACAATCCAACAACGAGCAGTAGTCTACATAGTACGTCATTTTTCTCTTCCATCACAGTCTCGAGCATTTACTGACGAGGAAACAGCACAAACCTTTTATCTATACTTTTCTATTCGATCCTCAAGCTCCGTCTCTGGCAGACCCATCTCTCTATCACAGTATCCATCACCAACTACAACCTCTCCAAGGGTCACTCAGCAAGTCAACATCGCCGCAATTGCCGCAGCCAGAATCTCTGTATCTGGTCATTCATTGGATATCAACCAACGATTCTCAGCCGAGAACTTACTATTCTACGATCTTGTCTACGACCCAACCAACCTAACAATCCGCTCTTCAATCCCCAATATCCCTGACCTCGGTTTTTCCCCACTAGAAGCTCCGCGAGATCCCAGCGCAACGCCCTTGTCGCGTGTCGAAAGCCTCAATATCCATCACCGCCTACTGAGCACCTACATAGAAACCCGATCCCGACCGCTCGAACTAGAAAGAACTTGCAAAACAAGTCGTGGCTGGTGGATTGTTTGGGTCCGAATGTCCGACCCATCGTACAAACCCACCAGTGACGATAGTAACACATCTCAACCCGATGACTCTCGCCAGGAGGCTTTCCTAATCCGGAAGGGAAGTGACTATGTCTCGACGTCTTCGCACGCGCGCAACAAGAGCGGGACTCGGTTCTTCAGGGACCTGGGCGGTGCATCTTCGCCGGGACTATCGGATATGGGGCCGGCCAAGTTGGCTGAGGGGTTGGGGCTGGATGCAAGACGATATATTGAAAGTTTACTCAATTTGAACAGATGATTCCCCCGGGGGAGAATAAAAATACACACTTTTGATGACCGTTGCTGTTTTTTTTATTCTCTTGATTTTTTTAAAGAACGTGGAGGTTGTAATATTGAGATTATTACCGAGTTGCTTTCCCCAGAGAAGGAGTATATAAGCACATGTCTTACTACCCCTGAGGCAGCAGTACTAGTACGATACATGGAATAGGGTGGGACCAGCTTCTCACGGCATCAACCCTGTCAACCAAGTCACGAACTAGGGAACTAAATTAAAGATAGATATGTCACTTCGATTCTCCTGTGTCAGTCTAATTCAATACTCCTTTCTCCTATCGGACAGGAGGCAGCTGCCATTTCCATAATTAGGCCTGCTAGACTAATGCGTAGTCTAAGGTGCTAACGGGCCGCCCACATGTTACTATCAATAGTATGATCGTACCAATAGTTGACACCTCTTCCTGTAATGGAACGCGATACCAAGATTTACCGGTACTTCTACTGATAGGTAGTCGATACCAAGTCCCGAGGTTTCGGGGATAACACATGTGTTTGATGCATTTCACGAAATATGTATCAGGGGGAAAGATAGCAGACAGGGTACAATGACATCAGAGCCATGCAGATGCAAATCGCAAAGGAGTAGGATGTGCATTGATTAGTAAATAAATATGTTAGGGGTGATGATGTTTGGTTCCCCATCAAGGCTCTGATTGATCAAGGGAATAATAGCGTCGAGAAACTGGCCAAAACCAAAAGACAAAGTGAATCCTAGCATTCTCTTAACCGAAAGCAACACACAAAGGAATAAAGAAGAACTCTGCTGGGGAAATCCGAAGTGATAGGAACCATCTATCGTATCACAAAATTCGACTTTCTTTATCAACCTCCCGGACATCCTTGACTGATGGGACACGCACGAGACAACGCCATCCTCAATAGCTCATTTCCGATCTGCACTATCCAGTTACTGATGACCCTGTTTTCCTGCCAGCGAAATGGCCATCCTCTGCCATAGTGATCGAGCCGCCTCGTGGGCGTACGGAGAGCTGGAAAAGAGAAGAAAACCCACAAGGTTATGAAGACAACGCCTCCCTAGAAATAAAATAGAAGAAGTCTGCAAAACAAGAAAGTCGACCAACTGCATAGCCAGATAATCCCATAAACCTCGTGTGCCCGTTGATTGAACATTATCCACACTCGCATCCAGGCACAGATCGGAACACGCCAACGGAGGACCCCTTTCTGAGTAAAAGAAAACACCAAATAGTCGAGACCCTTATCCGTTCATATAATCTCCGCATTAAACACAGACCTTTTGTGAAGGAGACAAAACTAGTTTACAGGATGGTGCACCCCTTCTTCTTCTTGTGAGTCTTGGTCAAGAGAGCAGCCCGGGTGGCAGCCTCGAAGACCTCACGAACACCCTCGTTGGTTCGTGCAGAGCATTCGAGGTACTTGTAAGCTCCGATCTTCTTGCGAACTTCCTCACCCTGAAGACAGATTAGAAAGATTCCAGTGTTTTCTGTGTACGGGATACATACCTGTTCGGCGGTGACTGGCTTCTGGGAGGTCTTGGTCAATTCCTCAATGGTCTTGGGGTCATTGCGAAGATCCTTCTTGCATCCGACGAGAATGATAGGGAGGCCCTGGCAAAAGTGAAGCACTTCGGAAATCCACTAGATTCATCGTTAGTTTTGCATACAATTTCCTTCGCAGTTGGAGCCCCTTTTTAGGATCTCTCTGCTTCACAGGATGAAATCAAGAGCAACTCACCTTCTCCTGAACGTTGTCAAGGGAATCAGGCGAGTCAACCGCGAAGCAGATCAAGATGACGTGAGAGTCGGGGTAGGAGAGAGGACGGAGACGGTCATAATCTTCCTGACCAGCCGTATCCCAAAGAGCGAGCTCGACACGCTTGCCATCAACCTCGACATCGGCAACATAGTTCTCGAAGACAGTGGGAACATAAACCTGAAAAGAATAAGGATCAGTTTGACGCGTTCGGGTCGAATAGGGAGATATCACGGGTCGGGTTGGATATCCGGTGAGAACTAACCTCAGGGAAGGTACCCTTGGAGAAGACACTGTGCAAAGCATGTCACAGTCAGCAGTCTCTTCTTATTTGGACACAGAAGTAGTTTGAATGGAGATACACTTACATCAAAAGACAAGTCTTACCGCAGGCACCATCACCGACGATGACAAGCTTGCGACGGATTTCGGCCATCTTGAAGTCAAGAGGATCAGCAAATGATTGAGATTAAAATTATCAAATGGAAAAAATTCCAGATGAGGTGAGTGGCAAACAACAGGGAAAGAAAGGGAAGCTGTTGCGGGAGTTAAGTTGGATGGCGGAGAGGAGGTTAGAAGGCTGAGAAAGGGACAAGTCAGGCGCCCGAGGAAAAGGGTTATCACATACGGTGCAGGTGCAACGGCACTGATTTAATTATAGGGAGAGGGAAGAGAATAAAGTGGTTTAAAGGAGAAAATGGTTTGAGTCGGGGAGAAGAGAAACAAGAAATAAGGAAAGAGATTTGGGATATGGGTTCAGTCAAGGGACAATAGCTGATAATAGTCTCCAGGGGAGCTTAAGATGAAGGATGATTGATGGATGGGTGGTGGAAGACAGTAAAGGGTAACGGGTCTGTATGGGAGCGAAGGCTATCGGCGTTGGCTCTTCTCTCGTTTTGGTTCCCCCGGTTGGCCTTTCAGGTGAGGCTCCCCAAGTTGACTAAGTAATCAAAAACCAGGCTAAAAAGTGCTGAAACGGTTAGCAACAAGCGATATTTTACACAGATAAAAAAGCTATGTGGCTGTGCTGGTTTGTTTCTCTTGCTGCCGCTTTTTCCCTCTTTTTCTCTCTTTTTTTTTAGTTTCCGAACTCTTTCCCTTTTTCACCGGCGAACTTCGTATCCTACCATACTACTGGAGAGGAGAAAAATATTCTTCTCTCTAGAGAAGACACAAGTAAAGTAACAGAAATTTCCTCTGTTCCTCACGGTCCCAAAATCATTCTATTTCCCTCCCTGTTCACATGTTGGTATCTTGGGTGCCTAGTTTTCTGTCGGCTTCCCATCCTCATTGAAGCCACCGTGGCTGATCATACAATTAGTTGTATTCCAGTACCGTATGAAAGCACTAGCACTTCATTCACTTACCGCCTTTGCAGGAAGTACCGAGTACTACGAGTATGTAATTTTTAATTTCAAAAGCCATGTTGAGTGACGAGCTTTTCCAATCCAATGATAATTTTCCATCTTGGGTCCTTCATCCACCCACTTAGTTGACCCCGATCCACCGGAGATCCCAAAACTCCTTGATGGTCGAACCTATGTTATCAGTTCCAATACTGATTGCATTTGATCACTGAGTTTATACAGCCACCGAAAATATACACATATACCTGGTATCCGTACTACATGTTGCAGTCGAGTACTAATTGTGCGGACACGTCAATCCTTCAGTTATAGTCGGAGCCTAGACGCTGGTGGACACCTTGTATGCTCGGATTTATCGGTTATGGCTCCATTCTTAATATTAGCTCTCCTATAGGTATTATTAGGGATATGATTCGCTTGACAAAGGGCGGATACCGAAATTCATAATACATAGGTAGCAATAATAGATAATATCTATAGCACTAAATCCATACCTAAATAGTCCTAAACTGTACTCACGAGAATAAGGACCGAAAGTTATATCCGTAACGTCTCCTTCCATCGATGATAAGCAATCATCTTCTTATCAGGCAAATTTATTGATCAATGGCATCATTCAACCTAAATACCCGGGGTCCTGCGGTACAAAACAGAGCTTACTCCGTACTAGAAGTAGACTGGACCAAAGCGCATTAACATACTGCATATGATCACATCATTATATGGGTCCTTGGGGTGTGACTCTTTCCTTAAAACAAGAGTACAATACGTGGCGGTGCACTCCTACCTGCGCCCGCCCCTTAAAACTACTACTGTGACCAGAATACCATACTCCGTATACTTACTAGTCCCAGCAATTTAATACAAAACTTTATACATCTCACGTGTTCATCATATGAAACTACTCTGGGGTAACCTCCTCTCCTCGACTGGCATTTTGCTTGCAAGTGCAAAGGCTCCTATCAACTATTCTTACAAGCGGTCATACCAGCCACCAGGCCTGCGCTTATTACCGGCTTGCAGGAAGGCATCAGCCACGGTAAAACCCAGAGCAGTGAACGCTTTGCAGCAAGCGCGGATATCTACCTTTTATCTGGTTGTGACTCAGTCGGAAATGCAACTGTGCTTGTTGGTCCACCTTTCTAACTGGCTGTGAGGATTCATTTGGCTGTATATGCCGGCATTGTTACTGTTCAAATCAATGGTGATTTTATAGTGCATTGCAGCATACAGCCTATGCAGTACTCAGCAAGAATTCAGCAAGAATCCCGACAATGTGACTGACGCAATTAATGGTGATCACGCCCCTGTACATGTTGCCTAACTGCATCAAGCATTTGCTCTTTCACCTGTGATATCATGATTGTCACAGTGTTGGCAAGACTATATGGAAAAGCTCCTAGGTGATGTAAATTATTTTTGTCTTGATCATAAAAGAACAGTGCCCTAGGCAAGCCAGGAAAAGATTTGACTAGTCTTATGACTCCTACATGATCGGGACCAGTCAGCCTTGCATGCACAGTAAAGAGTGCATATGCATACTTTCAGCTGAAGTTGGAATCTACACAACAGCCTAGTTGAGGGCGGGAACTACCCTGGAATTCGATACAAGTCCCTATCGAAAGTTTCCAACCCAAAAGGGAAAGAAAACAAGAAGGCCTCGTTCACATACTACAAGGCTATAGAGCAGGCTGTGATACATTTATGCCTGTCTGGATGCGGTCCGGACCCAAGGGATAGTTTGTGGCGCTGGGGTGGACATACTCTCCGGCAGTGAGGCTAGACCATTCTTTTTGGCTCTGCATATCTAAAGCGCCGCTAGGTTTCCTAGATTCGGTCCCTAAAATTCCTGCGCAAAAGTAACTCTAGTCCTTGCGACCATAACATTTACTTCTAGGACCTAGAAGCCACTTGACGTTGCTCAACTGACCTGCCCAGGACACAAATGTAGAGGGAGGCTAGATCTCGGAAAGGTCACATTACCTGATTGTTCGAAATTCGGCTACCTAAGCTACCCTGGAGGCAAGTATTCATGTTTTCGAATTATACGAACTGCACCATTGCATAGGTATTCTATTTCTTTCCCCCTCACATACATCATCCCTGGCAGTAACCCATCCTCCGATATTTCTTGACGTGCTATGTCTTTCACCTTGTGTGAGAGGTATGCATACGGTACTACCATGATGATTCTATGGGGTAACGCATAAAGCCAACAACCGAGCTAAGAGTACAAAATGTAGAAGGTCTTACACCGAGCGTTTACAGCTTATCAATTAAGCTTCATGCTATACATTTTCCATACACTCTTGTGGTTCAACCCAAGTCAACTAAGGTTAAGTAAATGCCTTGTATACGGAGTACAGCCTGGAGTGCTATTACTGGTGCCTATCGAAGTACGCATAGGTATACTTCCATCATCTACTAGTACTAGTACTCGTACTGAGGCACCCTCATTGGACCATCCCATTGGCCTGAGCCACTATTTGGTCACGTGATTGACGGCCGCAATTTTCCCTCCCGGAGCATCATCCGGTCCCTGGAGATTCCGCGGGAACGTCGCTCAGCCATTGCTGGTAACGCACCATTCAATATGCAGAAGGTCATCCGGAGGACGGCTTTGGCAAGAAACCAGGCCCAGCGAAAGGCAGTTCGAGCCGCTAAAGATGCTGAGCGTGAAGAATTCAAAGACCACCTGAGACAGCGATTCGCTTTGAACCGCATAGAGCTCGATAACATCCGCGCTGAGAGGCAACGACGACGAGAAGACTGGCTCCGCGGACCTCTAGCACCTCAGCGTGATGCCGGCTTTGAGGGCCAATCATTCGGTGCCCTGAGCCCCCAGGCAATGAATCCACCACCTATCCCCAAGCACCTACGGAGGAAATATATCAACATTGCCGTGGGTGATCGAGTGTGTATCATGAAGGGCCGGGATAAGGGCAAGATCAATGAGGTTGTCCGTGTAGATACAAGCAATGAGACGGTTAACGTGAGGGATCTTAACATGGTATGCTTCTGTGGTTACACGCACTATCCCTATGGTATCTTCGCTTTTGACTGACTCTTGACATTCCACAGAATGATGTGCATCTCCCCAGTTGGATCAACTCACAATACGGAAACAAGGGCACTGTCAATGCGATGGCCTTGCCGATTCCCATCGATGATGTCCGCCTTGTCGTTGCCCTTGACGATCCAGCTACTGGACAAACACGAGACGTCTTGGTTGAACATGTTCACGGCGGAGAGCCAATCCTTGAACGGGAACATGGCACAGAAACCCCCAGACATACCAGATACATTTCCGGCGAAAACATCGAAATCCCATGGCCTCGCCGTGAACCTCCGGTTTTGAATGACGAAGAGTGGGATACGCTACGCATGGAAGTTGAAACGCCGACTTGGACACCATCGCTGCATTATGCGCCCTTTCCTCCCAGTGTTCTGGATGAGCTCCGGAATAAGTTCTCGAAATACCGTACACGGCACGATCCGGAATGGGTTGAGGCGAAGAAGATGGAAGATTACAGAAAGGAGTACCTTCAAAGCAGGTCTTTGTTGACACCCAAAGGTGAGCTGATAGCTATGATACGGGCCAAGAAGGAGGAACGTCTGAATGCGAGAAGGGATGCTGATGGCAATATGCTCATGGACGACCAAACGGCCGGATTCATTGAGAATTTCTTGAAAGAGAAAGTGGCGAACAAAGCGTAATCAGTTTAGGTGTGATTCATCGGTTTTCGATGGGACGTGTGCCCAGAGGAATAATTTCTTTTCTCTCTCTTACTTGTTTGGATGTTGGATGTATACAAATGTACCACTGTAGCATAGAATATGATTGTATAAGATTACCGGGTTTAGGTGTGTACTTAAATTCCAGGCCTCTGGATGAATTCACGAGGTAGGGAAGCAACATGGTTAGATTGGGATGTCTCTGAAAAACCAATCGGACTAATGACTGGTCGCTATTAAGCCTTCGATTGCGTTTGGGTTATATTTGGTCGACGGCCGCAGGGGAGTGGTTCGCAGTCTCTCTTATCCATCATCTCTCCGCGCCCGAAGTTTCCATCCCCCATCTCTCCCTTCAACCTTCGCGCAGCCCCGTTCCTCAAGACATTCTGTTCGGCTTTGTTAACCTGGGGCTGCTCTTTCCCAACTATGGCATTCGCCGCAATAAATTCATCGGCTACGAAAAAGATTCCGGCCATTGAAGATGGCTTCGCCGCCGAACCTTCTTTGAAGAAACGAGTCTACGATGCGATCGGTGCGTAGCCCAACACCTGACACGGGTCCTGGAGTGAAAGAGAATTGACTGGTGTCCGTTACGGCTTTACAGGGACTACCCCGCAATATATACCTCTCTTCGAGGACATTGCCAAATATACCTCCAACCTGCTGGTCAGGAATGCGAGCACCCCCGTTCAGCCTGTAGCGACGCCTACAGACGGTCCTACGGCGAAGAAACGAAAGCTACAGAATGGAGATGCTGCAGGGCAGGCGCAATCGCCAGGTGATTTGAAAGCCAACGCGCCCTTACAATTCTATATGCAGGATGTTTCCTTCGCTGTTCCGCAACGGAAAAAGCTTACACTCGAAATTACGGCCGGGCGCGGTTTTCTTCGCGCAAGGAATCAGACCTCGAAGGCAGTGGAGTTTGGCATCCACGTGGACAGAATACGTAAGTCTGGTGGCCAGTCTATATGAAATTGACGCTAACTGTGTTGTTGGTCGAAAAAGAGCATGTCCTTTGCCTTCCTGTCCCGGAAAAGAACCAGAAGCAGTTCAATTTCTGCATTATTCCCCAATATAGCGATGGTATAAACCCACCACCGGAGGGCGAAACTGCCCCCGAGGCGATGGTGTGGACGGTCAACGACGGTCCTCCCAAGGCTGCATTCTCGGGGAATGGACAACAGATTGGAACCAACGATGGAGAAACAGCTGAGAATATTGTTAGGCAAATGCTGAATGAGAACGTACTACATACAAAGGTGGTGCGCCCAGATGAGAGGGAATTTGTCAGTGCCATGCCTGAGGCGCATCGGAAGGGAGAGAAAGCCTACCATGTCAAGGCCTTCCGTGGCAGTAAGGAAGGTACGGTTACCACAAGCGGATTCCGATATGGGTTTGTCTTCAGCTAACCTATTGCCTACTATAGGATATCTCTTCTTTTTGTCCACAGGCGTATTGTTTGGATTCAAGAAACCCCTAGTCTTTTTTGCTTTCGAGAACATCGACTCAATCTCATACACCTCTGTTCTCCAGCGAACTTTCAACCTGAACATTGTGGCTCGGCCTACTTCGAGTGATGAAACGCAGGAGCTGGAGTTTTCTATGATCGATCAGGCAGACTTTGCCGGTATCGATGCTTACATCAAGAAACACAGTCTACAAGATGCTAGTCTGGCAGAAGCCCGACGTGCGAAGAGATATAATATTAACGGAGCGAAGACTGGGGAGGAAGGCGCAATGGATACGGACGGCCCCGTCGAGGAAGAAAGCGAGTTGCAGAAGGCGCAACGCGAGCTGGATGACGAGGAAGATGAAGATGAAGAGGACTATGATCCCGGCAGCGATGACAGTAATGATGGCAGTGGCTCCAGCAGCGAGGAAGACTCCGATGAGGATGAAGAAGATGAAGAGGAAGGGCGAGACCTTCTCGCAGATGAGCTTGGAAGCGAGGCGGGGGATGTTCCTGCTGAACAGCTGTGACGGAACACTTGTCATACTTAAAGAACTGTACGAAATACTGGATGTTTCATGGTTGCGATGCGATATTCATTTCGGTGCATTGATGCCCTCAAATCAGATCAGTCAGGCGTAGGTTGTTGATGTTTCATCGTAACCACTTTTCATCTCTCACGCGCCATGCGGCATGTATCAATATGACACTCTACAAATGGACCAGGCATTCAGCAGTGCCCCTGCAGAATCCATGCACATACACCATGATCAGGTGTGAGGTCTCAGCCCAATCACTCCATTCCACGTAGAACCGTTTCAAGGCTGCATGGTGTGGGTTTCAACCACCGGAAAACGTACCACTGCCCTACAAGTACATGCGAAGACTGTTCGGTGGGTCACCTACGTGTCAGGTGGAGTTTTTCAATGTTTTTGGTGGCGTTCAACTGTGTACGCCGCTTGTTGCTATGCATATCACAGGGGGTGTACTTAGTTGATACTATGATATGCCTACACACAAGAAAATCAACAGCACCATTCGCTACGCACTGACGGTGCCTCCCAAAGACCCCGCGCCTTCTAGTGACTAGGATATGCATCCTTCGCCGGTAGGACGTAAATTATATTCCTGGCGCTCTGTGTTGCTTCCTATAAGGTTTTATTGGACACTTATTCTGGTGGAGATCCCTTGTATCGTGAAATTGTGGATGAAGCATAGCCTCCTTGTGGCTTGGAAGCGGTCTTTGCATTGGGATATATATTTGGAGAACGTATCATGATCTACTTACAGAATATGACTATCGGCTCCGCTGAAAACCCATACAGTTATTAACATCAATCCGATAATAGAGATGCTATGTACGGAGTATTTCTCAAGCTTCATAGATCAGAATGAGCCCCTATGGTCCAGTGGGATGGAACTATCAACCCGTGGAGTCACAAATGCAAAACCATTGGCGGGTGTTCCATGGTGGAGTATCTCTAGGGGTTCAGTTGGCACAAATTGAAAGTTAAGGGAGATCGCCCAAGATTACTTTGATGTAGAAGTCCAGAGAGGATTGTCCACGAACAGGACGATTTGCAATACCGATGCTTCCAACGATCGGCGTGGCTTTTGTAACCACGGGCCATCAATCGGGGTTGATAAATAGGCCGGGTTAAAGGGGAGTGATCCAAAACCAGCCTGACCGTGGTTCCTGGTGGCGTGATTTTGCCCTGGTTATAGAACACTACCAACAGTAGTAGTATCTGGGTCCCTTCTGAAAGGGGGGGGATATATGTCTTACACGGTCTACGAGTAGCACCTGGAGATGAAGACTAGGTATGAACTTTTTTTGTTCAAGAGTTCAACGATACGCCGAGGTTCGACATGTTTGCTCGCTGTGCTTTTCTCTTTTCTTTTCCAATTTTTTTTCCCTTTCTCTACTCCCTTCTCCTCGACCAAAAAAAAAGTGGCGCCTTCTGATTAAGGAGTGGCATTGGTCCCATTTTCCCAAATTCGGAAATCTAAGCTACCCGGCGAGAGGGCGCGTGCTCCAAGCGATGTGCTCCCCTGAATGGTGGGTTAGTAGTAGTATCGAACGGCGCGTTCGATCGAGTTAATATGTTCTCGACAGAAGAAGCGAACAAAGCCACTATTGAGTATTCCTCGGAATATGTAGTACTATAGACGATGGAAACGGTAGAAGAAACTGATCCTTAAAATCCCGCAGGGTATAGATTGGTCAGGGGCATCACCAGCAAAGCGATGAACTAGTCGTCGTTTAGTCCGCGTCTGCCGGCGACTGCTTTGAGTAGGAGCTGGTTGACAGCTAGCATTTTGATCTCCGTACCTGGCTTTAACACATGTATGTTGTCCTGCAGCTATAGACTTTGAGGTTAAGGCGAGGGACAATCCGCTCCCGTTGGATGTATGCACCTGGATTGCTCGCTTATCATGTAGGTTTATATCGATTCATGGCAGGGGTTGTCCTCCGTGGTACAGTACAGTACGGAGGGGTCCTACTACTAGTACCTTACTACTAGTAGTAGGGGCCGAACAACTGGAGGGATGGGAAATGAAAAGCCAATCAATGCACCCCCCTCCTGACTCTGAAGGTTCGAGGTAAGGTAAGGTATGTATGGGATCACGGTAACATACGGGAAATATTACCTTGCACATGGCCGAGGATCAGTGATAAGTAGCCAGGCTACATACTAGTACAGAGGTTGACAGTGTATTTCGGAAATGAAAAAAAAAGAAGAGTAACCATAGTAACAGTTGGAACCTGCGCATATCCACATGGGTCTCCTTACACAATGAGTGTCTCTCAATTGAAATTTCCTATTGACCTGGGTTCCCCAGATTCATGTAACATTCCCACCCCAGGTTGAATGGACGTCTTGATCCTTGGGTATCTACGGGGGAGCACGCGACGAACAATAACTGTAACGATTGTTCCTGAATCGTATACTCCGTACATACATCCATTTCCACGTATTCGAGCTAATCCCTCCCCGTTTGGAATCTTAGCTTGCCAGTCTGGCCAGAACGACCGCCGAAATCCACTTACTATCTCCCTAGGAAGTTAGTGTCCGGGCTTCAACCGTTCGTCGCCCAACAGGCCGAGCGCTAAGGGAGCCACTAAGCCAGTCCAGTGACTCCAGTCCCTGTACTAGGGCGAGTCGAGGTTCCATACGGAATTCCCTGTTTTCCTTGCTCTTCCGGGCAATGTCTTGATTTCGAAGTCCTTTGGATACTGATGACGTTTTTCCTGGTCCATTGGGAATTGTATTCCCTGTACTTAGTAGATGTACGGTATTTATGCAACGGCCGAAGAAGATCTCTGAAAATTACCATGGTTCTCCTCCTAGGATCCTTGAAGATTATATTTCCGCTAGTTCAATACCGACGCTGACTTTAGTACCCATACGCGCTAACCCCCAAGGCAGGCAGCCGGGTAATGTATAGTAAGTTGAATGGTACCTCAGCCTTCAGGTACGGAACGAAAGTCGACGGACCAGTGACAAGTCGGCCGTCCGTCGTCCAACCATCGCCTTCCCTCCCTCTGGACTTTCCTCCTCTTTCCGCCTCATTTTTTCTTTTTTTGTTCCTAATTTTTTCCCTCTCTCCCCGTAGGCTCAGGTGTCCATAGACTCCATACCACTGGTGTGTTCCCTATTCACCTAAGACCTTTCTATCCACTCATAGTTCCCCATCGCTCTCCCCATTCCTTCTTCCTCCATTACTCTTTCGAACCTCACCCTCTTCCTTCCCTTTCCCTTCTCCGTTCTCCCAATCCTTTCAAACCACTGCTCAGTGCGGTTCATCGTACTGCGACGCAGTTGGTGAGTACCAGGGAGTAATTTTCACCTGTTAATTATTTTCCTTTTCTTTCCTTTTTTTTCCCAATCTCGACTGAACCCACTTTTCTTTTTTCTTTTTACGATCCTCCCTTTCCACAGCGCACCTTAAACTGTCAACCTGCAGCCCCGATTGTCGGCCTACCGGAGATAATTACCTGTACTGCTTTTCCGTGACCTTTCCCCATCAAACGCTTCCAAAGGGTATACAATTATCTCTTCGCCTGATAATATCGGTGTGACTTGTTCAGACAGCCGTCGATTTGCCTCCGCCCGTTGCCTCCGTTTTGTTGTGCCGGTTCTAGCATACATTAGACTCGTGAATGAATGGTCTAGATCGCAAACAGGCTTTCTGTGAGCCTTTCCCCCCTTTCTTTTGCTTCCAATGCAAATATCATCTCATTCCAGTCGATCAGTGTTAATTGACATTACCCTTGTTACCTTGCTGACTGTTTCGATCTATTCGCAGACTAGTCTTTCACGTGCCGAGCCTGCGGATCGAGTCTCCTGACCCGACTGTCCCTTGGTGAAATCAGCCTTCCGCTTACCGTCACCCCAATACCCATTGCAACCATGGCATCGTCGTCGTCCAACGTTGTGGGTGTCCACTACAGAGTGGGAAAGAAAATTGGTGAAGGATCGTTCGGTGTAATCTTTGAGGGCACGAACCTTTTGAATAACCAGCAGGTGGCCATTAAATTCGTGCGTGCATCGTCCCAATGGAGGAGCAGGAGACCCGACATACTGACAACCCCAGGAACCACGGAAAAGCGATGCACCGCAACTCCGCGATGAGTATCGGACGTACAAGATTCTAGTCGGATGTCGTAAGTCCTAGACGAGCATACTTATATAACAGAAGACATTGTTCTGATTGAACGCAGCGGGCATTCCCAATGTCTATTACTTCGGACAGGAGGGTTTACATAACATCTTGGTGATTGACCTACTCGGTCCGAGTCTGGAGGATCTTTTCGATCACTGTAATCGTCGCTTTTCGACAAAGACAGTTGTGATGGTGGCTAAGCAGATGGTGCGTTGTACTGACGATTTTGTTTGCTTGTTGTCTAACAGTTATCTTCAGCTGTCTCGCGTCCAAACGATCCACGAGAAAAACCTAATCTACCGTGACATCAAGCCCGACAACTTCCTCATTGGCCGCCCTAATTCCAAGGCTGCCAACGTTATTCATGTCGTCGACTTTGGTATGGCCAAGCAATATCGTGATCCAAAGACCAAGCAGCACATCCCTTATCGTGAGCGAAAGTCGCTGTCCGGTACAGCTCGCTACATGAGTATTAACACCCACCTGGGCCGGGAGCAGTCCCGGAGAGATGACCTGGAAGCTCTGGGCCACGTTTTCATGTACTTCTTGAGAGGAGGTCTTCCATGGCAAGGACTGAAAGCCGCGACGAACAAGCAGAAGTACGAGAAGATTGGCGAGAAGAAACAAACTACTGCGATCAAGGACCTGTGCGAGGGATTTCCTGGTACCAATCCCCGATCTTTTCTTTTTTCTACATTAGCGCAGCCATGCTGACCGTTAAACTATAGAAGAGTTTACGAAATACCTCACTTATGTCCGCAACCTTGGGTTCGAAGACACACCGGATTACGACTACTTGAGAGACTTGCTCACGCAGGCCTTGAAGAACGCAGGAGAGGTCGAAGATGGCGAATATGACTGGATGAAGCTCAACAATGGAAGAGGATGGGAGTACAAGTCGTACTCGTCCCAGCAGCACCTCCACAACAACGCACTCCCCAATTCGTCTGCTCGTGAGCTTCATGCTCAGCAGCTACGCAACAGCCAGAGGCCTGGTGTGACAGCAGATCGTTTAAACGCCGCGCAGCCCCCGCCCCCTTCTCCGGCGAAGCCGGGAGCAGGGAAGACGCGCGAGCGGCAAAACGTCCAAGGCGGGATGCCACCGAAGCGCCAGAGCGGGGGGATGGACACCACACCGACGGTGTCCACTCAGGCACAGTTCCAGAACTCGAACGCCAACATTCCGGGTCGCATGGGAAGCCCAGCCAACCCAACGAAGAATAGCCAGCAAGGCCCAGGCGCTCAAGGGAACAATGAGCCGCAGCCCACTTTCGTTCAGAAAGTGATGAAAGCGTTATGCTGCGGTAGGTGACCATGCTGATGCTCAGGTGTCATGCCTTTTCGCTTATGCAGCTTTCCAGGTTGATACTCGGTTGAGCACAGGGAATGTAATTTTACATCATGTTGGCTTTCGACTTTCTTTCGTTCTTTCTTGTCTTCGCGCTCTCGGGAGGTTGAAAGACAGCATGCAATTATACTCTGTTATAAACCAGACGCCCCCCATCTCCTTGAACCAAGCTTGGAAGGCTTTTGCAGACACTGCTGGCAGATGAGCGCAAGATGGATAGGGGTGGGTATATTGTTTTCCTTATTCTTCTCAACGATGGAATGGGTTTCGGATCGAGCAAACCGCTCGCCCGCCCGGTTCCATCTCGACGCTGCAAAATTAATACAGCTCGGAGCGGACCGGTCACGAATAGAGCGACCCTCATTTCACACCTCTACGTCTCATCACACTCGTCATCTTCGACACTCTTTTCATGGTGCTACGGCTCGGAACGGCGAATTTGCGATTATTCTGCTTTTTGCGATTTCCTTTTCTTTTTCCCTTACCCGCATTCTGGCGTGAGCCATTTAATACTAGATTCTTGTGTGTCAGATTACATATCGTTGCCCTATCCTCATCCTTTTTCCGACCATCTCGACCTCTTTCACCTCTGGCCGTCTCTATGCTCTCAGTTCATTGTGGCTGGTTCTTCGATGGTAATATTAATGACGTGGCGGAAGGGCATTGGCATCTGATGGAAGAGTCCTCGCGTTTCAACCAGAAGTGACCTATTTACAAAGCATTTAAGACTATAAATGTTTGAATATGCCCCATGGGATACGTCGCAGGACAAATGGGTCCATCGGTCAAGGAGTTTATGTGGAAGCAGCCTATGGCTGTTCGATTTCCTTTTTCCTTTTTTTCCCTTTTGTTCATTTCTTTTGCCTTGTTGTTTCTTGTCTGTGTACGTCTTGTGTCTATCTGCAGAGGTCATTCAGATGTAGCCTCATCGGTTGGATTTGTACTTGCCTATACCTTTACAATTGTCAGCAAAAAGCCAAAACAATGAGTGGATTGATCAGCTGTGACCCGGTTCATGCCCCTTAGACAAGATTGATGTGCTTTACCACCGATCTTTTCGCACTCCCCGGTCGGTTGTTGCAGGATCGAAGGGGACCAGAGAGGCAATGTCACATATCTTTCCGTTCCTCGTTAAATCTACTGTTTGTTTCTCTGTGTTTGGGCAGCGAGTTGATCGTATGGGTTCAAGATTCTTTGATTTGTTGCATTGGGACCGATCCGCTCTGCCAGTGTATGAGACAGAGTATGATAGCGTAGAGTAATTATACCAAGCATGTTAAGTTCAGTCCAGTCATTCAAGTAAATGGGTATGAAGCAAATATGTATGATCCTATTGGGTGTTTCTCGAGTATCCATAAGACTCCTCCTGCCTGATCAGTGACAAGTTGCAGACCGAGACTTGCCGAAACTAGTGGCAAGGCCATGGACATGGATCTGAAGGGTGGTATCTCAGCGCAACAGCACTAAGAGTGACATCCCTGTCCCTGTCACTCCAGGATGGGCCGTTAGCACCAGGATCAGTCTGCCGTGCTGCAGAAACGTTGTCAGTGGTGGCCATTGGTTGACAGGTGCAGATCGTTCCGAGTCTTTCATTTGCGTCTGAGTCTGCTGGCCTGATTGATTGACATCTTCGCGTCATTGGAGATGGGGACGTCTGAGGTCTGAGGTGGGACATGAGTGTCGTCCTCCGATGGGTTCGGTTCACCTTTGCAACACCGGCCTTGCCTAACTTCCTGACCATCCGTAGGTATCTTCATCTGGCTGAGGGGGATGTGCCCTCAGTCTGATGATGATTCATGCATGTAACCACGGATAGATAGATAGAGATATATATGAAGCATCCCCGTCTCTTGAGGGTAGTAGGAGTAGTACCATGCTCATTTGCTGTGCTGGGCTGTGCTGTGCTGGACATAATGATCTTCTTCATCTGGTAATGCAAGTCGGCATCGACTATCTGTCTCTCTCGTCCGCGAGTTCCGTCACAGGATGAATAGGATTAATTCTCCATCCTCTCGGTGGGTACTCCTCATTAAACGGACTGGGATCAGAATCATGGGGTCCCCATTATTCCCCTCTTCGTTTTTCTAAACCCCCCACAGTCCAAGTCTAGACTTGAGGAGTTGTCTCCCCTTGTAGGACCAATAATGTGAGCCATCATGTATCCGCTGCTAACGAAGTGGTCCTGTACTTATCTTGATTAAGAAGGTCTGTTACTGGTCGATTGGAGTCACCAGCACAAATTATGGAGTCCAACGTAGATTACTAACGCTTTAGCGTAACCATCGTACCTTAGGCACCTTTTTTTTTTTTTAAAAAAAAAGATCATGCCACAACATTTTCTCAGACTGGTGTCTCTCGTGTTCTTGCTAGCCCCTCTCCTGGTTAACCGCGGATTTGCCGGCCCTTAGGGTATTGATGTCACGAGGCACTGGCCTATCTTGCTTTGACTCTTGAAACTTCATCTGTTGATCAGTTAGTCAAGGTGGAGAGAGCCAATGATGTCCGTGTGTCTGTGTGGTGAAGTTGTTTGTGCGTCTTACGGAAACGGAGAAATTGTGGATCAGTTGATGATCGCGTGGTGAGTGTTTTCCATTCCCATGCTCTTGGAAGGAAATTAAGAACATACTCAGGGGGACTCCCTTATATCCCATATCGCAATCAACAAACATCCACACCCGTTCCAGAAAGAGTCGCCTACACCGTTGGTTTTCCGGTTGTCCGCCAACTGTTTCTAACGTGTCTTCCGATTCGCGACCCCATGACACGTGGATGTGATACGTTGTTCAGTAGGATACCGACTTGGGAACGGTTGGAACGGTTGGAATTGAGTAAACTTTCCATGCGTGGGCTTGATTGGTAGCGATGGGCGGTCTCGAGCTGTAGTTCTCTCACTAGCTATTTGATAGCTCCCATGCAGTATGCATGTACCTTCGGTAGGTCAGTAGCTTGTCCATGCGCTTTCTATTTCCTTTGCTTTACTTTATTTATTTATTTATTTATTTTTGCTCCCTACTTATCTATAAGCGTCTGTACGGAGGAACTAAACACTACTGCGTAAAGGTTACCTACTACTTGGTAGTACTAGACGAACTATACATAATAGATTGTGATTTGGGGATACATTCTTCCATTCCACCACTCGATGCAATTGCGACAAGCCAAAGAAAACCACCAACTCAGTCGGATAAGGCATGTTCCAAATTGGCGATTGCGTACACCGTCCTCCATATCTCGCAAGACGACACCCAAATCTCGAGAGCCAGATAAACTAAGTTGATCCACTGCGAACTAAATGATGGATACCTGAGATAGTGCTTCGCGCTTTTGCGCTACCCATTGGGGGGGTCCCACTCCGGTTCCTCGGAAAACTACAGTCTCCATCTTTCTACTTCGTATTATCAATTTGTCCCAATGATAAGGTCATATCTTTCCACGTTGCGTGTGTTGGGTCTATTGGGTTGATATTGGTAATATCACACCTTACTCTGGCTTTATCCGCAGTATAGCCGCACTAATCCCAATAGACGGATAGAACCATTGAATTCCATTCAATTTTTGTTATTCAAGGGAGGAAAAAAACAGGGAACCAGACTCGAAGTGGATACATATTACTCTATCGAACTATAGTGCTCTGTATACTACTGTGTAGTAGCGGCATAGCCCGACTAGCGATCAGAGCCTTAATTTTTGCCACAGTTTTATTCAAATTTTTTTTTTTCAACCTGCGGGGGCTTGGTATGAAAAGTTGGATATTGAAAGTTGTTGTTGGATAGTGGAGCTCAGTAGGGACGATATCGGGCAGAGCATTCTCTATCTATAGACACCGGTGAGCACCGTTAGAGCCGGGCGGTTGCTGCTAGTTCGTCAGGTTGCTATGGCAGTTGATGATCTGGTTCAATGGCTGGTGTCAGTGATGCTGTAGTTGTCATTGTGATGATATCGGGAGAAATAGGGATGGCTGGTTTATATCAGAATTGTTGGTCTCCTGCCCGAGTCATATTGTTTTCTATATTTAACGGCGTGTGATGATATGCAAAGTTTAATACCGAGAGAAAATGTCGGAAAGGAATTCGCCTTGGATGTCCGTTCATAGATTAGTTAATTCCCAGGGACTTGATGTGTTACACATACAACCATCGAAGTGGCGTTTGGAACAATTCGAAGGCTTCTATAGATGTTCTAGAATCCGAAAATTTTCACCGCATCTGACCGTGTTGAGCCTTGTGGCTTTATCTTCTTGGCCCTCGTTGTCTGACACCTGTAGGGCACTCACGGAAGAAAACGGAATGCCCGAGTGATTGCATTGCCTTACGGACAAAAAAGATGACTCAGTTTGCCACCAGAAAACGGATCCTAATTCAATTTTTCTTAATTGTGGTCCTGGGTGGCTCCTTCCATGTTCTTATTCGGAACTGGATTCGTTATGATCTGCAGATGTACAGGGACAACTTTTTTGCTTTTTGTGGTTTTTTTTGGGTTGCACGGCAGATTGTCTATGACGTGATGTTATCTCATCCTGCTATTTTCTATCTTCCGTACTCCGTACCACGTCCCGTCTTCGGTCGCTCTTCGGTGGTTCGTTGAACAGATGATGGAGGAGACAAATCTTGCAAGGGATGGCAGATCTTGTGCGTCCTTGTGTCTGTTGCTTTATTATTGTTTGTAGATGGCCCGCTGTCTCTGCAATGGGATTGGTCGGATTTCCTTCATTCCATTAAGAAAGAATGTTGTAGGACAATACCTCACCCTTACCCCCCACGACGCGCAACCCATTGAGCTCTGGGATGGGGAATATCTGCATGATGTGTGTGAGTAGCACTTACTCCGGAGTAGTTGATATACGGATATGGTCTGAATTCGACGGGACAGGGACTTGAAAGCTACCTGTCAGATAGGTCTTGCCCAACGCAGTTAGAAGCTCAAGTCCAAGCCCATGGGTTTTGCCAAGACGTAATAAATGGAAG